TGGTCCTCACTCAACCTTGCCACGACAGCCACTGGTCCTGGGCCCCGGCCTTGTGGGAATCAGGGGTACCTTGCTTTCTTCTGGCTGCCGAGTCAGAACCCCCAGGTCCTCTCCCAACCTGCCAAGAGGCTAAGGATCCAGTCTGGGGTGCTAGGGACAACAGAAAGGGTTTGGTGCTACCTGGGGGACCCCACCGAAGGTCACTGTAAGAAGCTGAGACAGCTCAGAACCTATCTCAAATTCTGACCTCTAGAACAGCACCAGTATACAAGAGCCCAACAGATGTTTGATGAATGCATGAAAGAATGAACGAATGAATGAATGAATGAATGGAAACTTTGGATCCAGCTTTGGCTTCCTGTGATTTGTCTGTGTCACCTCGGGCAAGTCACTGTACCTCCTTTGAGCCTGGGTTGACCCAGCTGGAAAATGAAGAGTGGCCTGGTAGTCTCAGGGGGCCCTTCCAGCCCAAAGTTGGAGGGTTCTGGGGAGCAGGTAGAACTGTCCTGGTGGTGCCCAGGGGTGCTTGCAGCAGAGGATGGCCACATGGCTGGGCGTCCGGAGAACTGGGCCTCTGTGAGCGCCCTACTTTCTTCCAGGCTATCTTAGGTAAGTTGAGGCAAGTGCCATGTGCGCTGGGGGAGGGCCCACAGCTGGAGTCAGGAGTCACACGAGCAGCAGAAACCACTCTGACCGGTCACAGCAGGTGACTTCCACGCCCGTGCAGACGTGAAGCTCCCCAGTGCCGAGGTTGCTTAACCTCTCGGGGACCCAGTGACCTCCCCGGACAGAGCTCTTCCCTCCACGGGCCTGCTCACCCGCCGGTCCACACTAGTCAAGGCTGAGGTCTCATATTAATGGCCCCAGAGAACCCACAGTGTCTTGTTTTGTACGGGATGCTGCCTTTTGGTTAGACAAAGCAGGCTGCGTCCCCTTGGCCACAGTTGTCACCCCATGGTCTCACACGTGGCAGCTTCACAGTGTACACCGCCTCCTGCCCTCTGAAGGCATCTAGTTAAGAAACTGATCTAGCTTAACGCCCACTTATGAGCAGGAAACTGGGGACTGGAGTATCCAGTGAGCCCTGGGTACCTAGACTCCCCGAGATTGGAACAGCCCTGCAGACCCCAAGGTCTCACCCTCAGAACTGGCAAGTTCTCCCTCTGGTGAGGCCTTCTTTCGTCATTCTGCCCCGTTCCTCCACATCTTCCCCCTCCTCCCTGGGCACCAAGGCGCTGTCCTTCGATGGTTCCCTGGCTCCCTGCTGCTCTGTGCGCTCTGTGAAGACAGGGGCATGGCTGTCTTGTCACTGTTGTGTCCTCAGGCTGATGTGCAATGGTAAATGCTGAGGAAGAGGGACAGGAACAGACCCCCTCCCTGCTGTCATTCCCTGGGTTGTTCAAGGACATTCTGGAGTCATCTGAGAGTCCCACAATTCCCGGGCAGCTGGCAGGTGTCCGCTGCACAGGCTGTCTGTCCAGCTGACCGGGACAGGCCCTCCCAGCTGGCTTCTGCCTGCCAGAGCAGAGGGGGCAGTGATGTCATAGGGCTCCCCCACCCTGCTTCCCCTGGGTCAGACCCGTCAGGCCTGGTGTCCCAAGTTCAAAGAGACCACAGATGGGGGTACAGGACGTGTCTGTGTGAGTTGCGGGCAGGGCAGGGGCCTGGGCAGGTCATGGTGTCTGCAAGGAAATATTCTCGGAGTCGAAAGAAAAGGGAAGAGGCAGAGAGGGCTGCAGCGGGTGGGGGAGTGAGGGCGGAGGAGGAAATTCCGATTTTTCACAGAGGGAGAATCATAAAGTTGCTTGTAATTTCCCCCCAGAGTACAAGTACTGTTTGCTCACGACGACTATTCAAACAATACACAAAGGCACGAGGAAGAAGGTCAAGAGCACAAGGCGTTCTACCTCTTGGGGTTCTTGCTGCAATTGGGAGCCCACTTGGGGTCAAGACGACCTGGATACAAACAATGTCTGTATTGCTAAAGACAATTGCCAGCCACGCACCTTGGGAGCAACACTTAATTTCTCTGTGGCTTGGTTCCTTCATCTGTGAAGGTGAGATACCGGCATCCTTCTCTTGGCCTCCCTCCCAGCCCTGAGAATATATTCTTGGAGACACCAAGATGGTGCCTCTGCCCTTCCTGCATGGCAAAGGCCACCACCTGTCCCCGCACGGGGTGGTCTCTTTGAACTCAGGATTCCAGCCTGCTCCGTCAGTATTTGTCGCTTAGCACTGGTGTGAAGATTAGACTAGCGAATACGTGGAAGGGGCTCCCACATGCTGGCACATGACAAGGGCTGTTCCTGGGCCTGCTGGGTCACGGCCCTGACTGACAGCATGGGGTCCGCAGCACCACCTCCAGCACTATCAGCATCATCTTCAAAGACATCAACCTGCGTTCCTCCCTTCCTCCCTCTTTCCCATCTCTCCATCCATCCGTCCATCCGTCCATCCATCCATCCATCCATCCATCCATCCGCCCATCCTTCTTTAATGGGAGCATGCCCTTGTGCTCTTCAGGCACCTACTTTTTATATTCTCCATTACGTTACCTGCGAAGTGGACAGGTTTATTCAATAGATGTTATTAAACGAAGTGACTCAGGTCCTGCTAATTGGGTTCAGGGCAGAGCTGATGGAAAAGCCATCATGAAGTGCTGGTTGGCTCCCTTCTGCATCCATAGCCTAAACCTAGACTTAGCCCTGTGCCTTGGGGTATAATGGACTTTATAGACGAACAACCCTTGCAATCAGATCATTCTAGAAAATTCTTCAAAATAAAAAATAATCAAATTAACACTTATGCCAATTATATTTTTCCCATTTCTTACGTGGGCCAGAGGTTCTTAGAGGCAGGGACCGTGGGCCCCCAGGCCCCGCCAGGAGTTGGTCCCCTTTTCTCTGACTCTGTCTTTGCTGCCGCCCAGACCTGAACAAGGAGATCTGGGCTTGAGAGGATGGCATGGCGGAGGAGGCATGTCCCATGATTCTGTCACCCTGATGCTGAATATGAAGAGAACATGTCACCTGCAACTATCCACCTCACTCCAACGTCTCATGGGCCGCTGGTGGTCAGTTACCCCAACAGAGAATGGGCGAGTTCCTGCCCACAGCCCAAGGTCTCCAACTCTCTGAGGACGCCATTCTTGTCACTCAGGAGCCAAATTCTCCAGCCATCCTTGATCCCCAGCCCGACCCCATGCAACCAATCCCTCAGTAAATGTCAGCTCTGTCTTCAAGGTATGTGCAGAACCCAACTACCTCTCCCTGCTCCACGGTTGCTCCTGGGACCATGGCCCCATCATCCACTCCTGGAAGGCCGCAGAACCTCTTGGTACTGACCAGAAGCACACGCACTTTACTTACTGAACTCTGCTTATTCACTTATGTGTCTAGGCATCTCCCCTAGAATGTCAAGGTCATCAGAGCAGCGATTATGGTTTGCTTTGCTTCACCTTGGGGGCCTGGCACATAGTAGATGCCTGACAAATGCTTGGGAAATGAATGAATGAAATCCTACAAATGCCCACAGCACAAGCTCAGAGCCCACAGCCTGAAAGGAACCAGCGCTCCTCAGCCCAGCACTCTGAGCTCCTGGTCACATTCCCTCCTCTCCAGCTGGTCAGGACTGCGCATGAAGACTGGTTTCTGCCACCTTTGGCACCTGTGGTCATACAGTGCGGTGAGTCAGGTGGGCCAAATTAAGGCCCTACCACTTATGAGCAGCGTGACCCGAGGCCATTCTCTCAGCTGTCAAGCGAGGACACGAGCAATAGTTGCCAGCACTTTTCAAAGGCTTTGTGCTAAGCCTCTCACATGAAGCTCCTGTCTCCTCCACACTGACCCAATGCGACAGACAGATCCTACGGTTACAGATGCCATCTTACACATGGGGAAACTGAGTCACAGAGAGCCTAAATAACTTGATGCCCATTGGTGGTTGTAAGAAGCAGAGCCAGGATTTGAATCCTGACACTCCTGGTTCTTTATGCACCAACTTGCCTGCCTTCCTCCCTCTTTCCCATCAGCCCATCCATCCATCCATCCATCCATCTACCCATCCAATCTTCTCTAATGGAACCATGCTCATGTGCTCTTTAGGAATCTACTTTTTTTTTTTTTTTTTGGTACCGGGAATTGAACTCATGACCTCAGACTTGCCAGGCAAGCGCTTATGCTGCTGAGCTATATCCCCAGCCCAGGAATCTACTTTTCATGCTCCTTATTACATTCCATACGAAAGGGATCGGTTTATGTCAAGAAATGCTATTAAATAAAATAGCTCAGGTCATGCTTAATTGGGGCTGGGGAAGGCGTGCTGGAAAAGCCATCCTAAAGTGTCATTTTGCTGTATCCGTAGGTAAACCTGGTGCCTTTAGATGTCAGGAGCTTTACAGCAATCCAATGTGTTAGCAGTAAGAAAGATCACTCCAAAACAAACTTCAAAATCAAAAGTAACGGGGGCTGGGGATTTAGCTCAGCGGCAAAGCGCCTGCCTGGCAAGCACAAGGTCGTGAGTTCGGTTCCTGGTACCGGTGAAAAACCAAAAAAAAAAAAAAATCAAAAGTAACCAAATAAATGTTCATGTCATGTTTATATTTCCCACTTGGCTCCACTGTGCTTTAGATGCCACCTGACCTCAGCTTAGGAGATATGATCTGTCAACTCCTCAGTGACATGGGGCACACAGTCAGTCCTCAGAAACGCTGACAGCGTTGTGGGTTCAGACACCAAGAATCTGTGGACAGAGGCAAAGCTACAGGTGGGGGCAGGGGCAGCTGGGGAGCCAGGCTCCGCCTCGGGCCCCCAGGGAAGCCCCCTTTTCCATTTGCCAGACAGGCTAGAGCGCCTCCTCCCCCGGCCTCCAGGATTGACAGCCCCAGGAGTGAGCAGGACTGGGCGTGGAGCCGGGAGGTGGGGACGAGGCTCAGGCAGGCTGACCAGGTTGCAGGGGGAAATTAAAAGGGAGGAGAGAGCACCAGCCCATCAGAACTCACACTCCTTCCTGGTGCCTGAGAGGAGCTGGGGAGTCAGGTGTGCAGCCACCAGGTGCTGGAGCTCTCCTTGGAGGTGGGGAGCAGGGGACAGGATGGCCCCGAGGAGAGCCGTGCAGCTGTCTCTGAAGAAGCCCACGTACGCTGTGTGTGTGGTGGGGACCGAGATGCTGGTGAACGTCCACAGGTGAGAGCTACGGGAGGCACCCACCTGGCTGCCAAGGGCTGCGCTCTAACGGGGGACCCGAGGCATTGGGTTCTGTGCCAGGAACCGGCTGGGCTTGTTGGAGGATGAAGATGTGGTAGGAGGATGTGGTAGGAGGCTGTTTGATAGCAGAGAAGGTGGAGTTGGCTGCGGAGTGGGAGGGAGGGACTAGGGTCTGGTCAGGTGCCCCGGGACTCTGGCTCCTGAGCACTGGGGTTAGGACACTGGCCTCCAGCTCCCGGACAAGGAAGGGTCCAGCCTCAGGATTTCACTCTGTGCCCTGGAGCCAGGCCCTGGATTCTGGATTGCGTCCCGACACCCTCGAGGAACTTGCGTCCAGCAGTAGGGTGAACTGCTCAGGATGGGATGAGGACCGGGGCTCCCCTTTAGCCCCTCAATCTCTCGCCAGCTCTTCATCTCTCTGCGGTGTGTGCCAGCTTCACCCTGGAGCCCAGACAGGGGAACTGGGGTGACTGGAATCAGGAGGGGGAGGCTAAGGGACCACTCGATGACTTAATCTAGGAAGTGAGCCTGCAGCGGGACCAGAGACTTGCGCTTGGCACAAGACCATGATGATGGGGATGATGGTGGTGATGTGGTGGTAATGACAACTGTGACAGTGCCCGGATGACAGGGGAGGAAGGCAGCCATAACATCAGCTTCTCCTGTTTGGCTTCTCCTCCCAAATCTTCCTGTCCTGGCTCTATCTGGATGGGAACTCGGGGAACCCGGCTCAGCCTCAGTCTCTCCACCCGGCCACTGAAGGAGTTAGACTTGACACACTGTGGAGTCCATCCCTGTTGGACTAGGTGGGCTGGGCCTTATGGGTTCCCCTCCAGAAGGAGCTGGGGGGCCTGTGACCACTGGGACCTGAGCTCCTGTCACCCGCTAGGGTCTCAGCCCCTGTACTTGCCGAGTCTGGAGGATGAGTGCTGGGCCAGCTGCTCACCCGGCCTCAGGAGGAGCCTCTGCCCCAGGAGCCTTCCCTGTTCTTCTCCTGGGCAGTTTCCTGGGGGCCCAATGATCAGGATGGGGAGGAAGAGCCAGGAACTCCGAGGGCCGGACTGGGACTCTAAGACAGTACCGGGGCTGTATGGCCCGTGGAGATGCGATTTTCTCTCACCCTTGCGACCCAGGGCCACAAGATTTAGTGAGTGAGAATACAGAATGCCTAGTGAAGCCTGAATTGCAGATAAACTAGAGAGACTTTGTGTGTGTGTGTGTATGCACGCGTGGTGCTGGAGATTGAACCTAGGGGCTTGTGCGTGCTAAGCGAGGCTCCTCCATTTATACCTCCAGCCCCTAGGCATTTTTTTAGTGTGTTATGTGGGACCTATTTACAGTACAAAATCTGCTGTTTTGCCGAGGCTGCGCTGTAAGCAGACACCCCATACTGCACCTGGCGATCCTACTTTAACACCCAGGACAGGGAAGGTGTCCTTGGGGCCTCCACCTGTCTGATTCCAGGCCCTGCTCTTGTCCAAGGCCGTGGTTGTTTCTGGAACATACTTTGAGAACCTCAGGGCCTTTGCCGTGCTGCTGACTGAGACCCAAAGCATTTGGTGGGGAGCCAGGAAATCCCAGTTCTGGTTCTAGTTCTGTCACTGACTCACTGCCAAGTCATTGGCCCTCTCTGGGCTTCACTTCTGAGCCCAAAGAGATGAGCTGGGTCTCCTCTGCAGCTCAGCAAGGAGGTAAAGCCCCAGGCTCTGGAGTTGGACAGACTCATCTTTTCATCCTGGCATGCACAGCTGTGTGACCTTGGGGAAGCTGCTGCCTTCTCCGTTTGTGCACGTGCAAATGGGGAAGCAATAGCGCTGACCTTAGTGGATCTGGGCGAGAAGAGAGACTATGCACGTATAGGGCCCAGTGTTTGGTGGGTGCCCCGGCAGGGGTAAGTGCTCCCAGCTCCGAGGGCTCAGGGTAGTCTGGGGGTTCCCTCCTGCACGTCTGTTCTTCCCATCACTCCTTAGAAGTGGCAGGGGACAAGGACAGTGCAGGGCGTGTGTGATAGGAGTACGCGGGTCACTGTCTGCAAAGTTCCCTCCTGGCCACCAAAACCCTCAGCACCTTGCAGAGCACCCAGGCCAGGTGCGGACTCGGGACATGGCTTGCGTGGTGGTGGTAGCCATCCTCTGCCTGATGCAGGGAGGGAGGGAAGGAGGGAGCCCATGGAGTCTCCCCCTGGGGGTTGGGTGCTCTGGGCAGATGCTGAGAGCCCAAACCACAGCTGGGGGTTTACTCCGCAGTGCTTGGGAGGCGCCTCCTGCTGGTGAGGTGTGTACTGGATGGGAGCGGGACCTGGAGTTGTCCACCTGTTGGGTTTCAAGGAGCCTGAAGCGATGGGCTATGCTTCATGATGGTGAATGAACTCGAGGCACCCCCACCCCTTTGCTGGGTACCTGGCTCCAGCCGAAGCCATGCAAGGGGTTTCTAACCGGCCTTGCTGGTAGGAGCAGGAAAAACACCCAGAGAGGTGTGCAGGTCCCCTGAGCTGCCCGGAGTCTGCGCCCTCCGGGACATGGGTGTTTGAGATAACGTCACAGGAAGTGACTCACTCCCCGGGGGCCAGGTGGACTGGAGATTTGGAGAGATATTTGTGTTTGGGATAATTGTGTGGCTGGGGGTAACCCAGTCTGCGGAACCTTAGGGCTCCCCTGATTCAGCATATGCTACAGATTCCACCCCCGTGTTGCACTCCGGTGAGCTAGCTCATCACTCTGAGCCTACACCCCAGTGGGCTAGCTCCCCATCCTGAGTCCTCTCTCAACAGCTGCCTCACCGCCCCAGTCCTTCCCCCACTGGGCTAACTCTCTACCCTGAACCCCACACCCCCGGGAGCTAGCTCCCCGCTCTGAGCCTTTCTCTCCAGTGGGCTGGCTGTCCGCCCCGGCTCCCTGGGTTTTGTCAGATTGTCCTGGATGACCCTGTTCTTACTTGGAGGCTTCAGGTGGCCCCCAGAGGCTTAGGTCAATACAGCGGGGCTGGGCACCATGGGGAACCCGCTGTTGGTCTGGCATGGCTCCCCTTACTTGTTCAGAGCCTTGAATCAGGCTTCAAGGCTGGAGGCCATGGTGAACATTTGCTCTCTCGGGCGGAGAAGGCTGGCTGGGCAGGCGTTGGGTCTTTCTCTTGCATTTCTCCCAAGTCTTCCTCAGCCTGCAAAAACACGAAGGCACAACAGACCCCAGCTTGGAGGGTGGTGAGAGTGGCGAGGGGCTGCCAGGGAGCCCTCACACAGAGGGGCCCGGCCAGGGGCATCTTCTGGGGTCCGCCGTGTTTCACAAACCCAGGACGGCGCAACAGGGTTGTACAGTGTAGTGCGGGATGCTTTCCTATTGTTTACACTGAGTAAATGAACGCTTCCAACGCAGAGCTACAATGAAGCTTAATTGGGCTCCTCTGGAGATAATTATAGGACTGATGCCGACATTAATGCCTAATTCCTAGTGACTGACAGGCCGGGTAGCCTCGGCGCCAGGCTGGGACACCCTCTCCCCTCACTGCTTCCTGTGGTCGAAAGGTCACCCTTACTTGGCAGTCCTGTTCCAAGCTGAAGTTTGAGGGTTCCGGGACAACAGGAGGCTGGATGAGAATACCTCTTTCACCTGCACAGGGCTCCAGGGTGTTGAATCTGGGCAGTCTCAGGATGTAAGATACGGGCACCAGAGAGGGTCTCAGAGGTCAGCGCCCCGATACCACAGATACCCCTGCTGCCCTGGGCCCGCTTGCCACCGCCATTTCGGATAGGAAGGGAGCCCCGCCTTTTCCTCACCTCCTACCCTATCCTGTGGCTTCTTGGATACCAGTCTGCGGGTGTCCCCTCATTCTGCCATCTCTCCTTCCCTTTCTGGCCCCAGCCCCACCCCCTCCCCACCCTGGACCAGAGGCCCATCAGCCAGACAGCTCTCTGAACCCTAGGAGGAGAGTTGAGGTATGAGGAGTGTCACGCAGCCTCCCCGACCCTGTCCTCTCTGCCGTCCTGTAAATGGAACTTTCTCGCTCTTCTCTGTGGCCGCTTGGCTCTGCCACACTGTCCTGCCAGAGAAGCGGGTGGAAGGAATTGCAATCCACATGGCCGGGGAGGGAGCGCCAGCTGTGAGTCCCAAAAGCCGCCGTTCCGGGGCACCCAGGCCCTTGGGCTGGTGCTGAGGAGGCTGCGCTTCCAGACTCACTGTGGCCCCAGAGCAGAGAATCTGGTCCCTCTGCACAGGAGTCAGAAGCCCTGCTAACAAGCACCTCTCTGTGGTTGCCATACCTTCCCGGCCACATTCATGACCCCGCTGTGTCCCCTGTCCTTGTCCCCTCAACCATAACTCCAGGTCTCAGGCCTGTGCTGGGTGAAGTGGGCACACAGGGCAGCTGTGGGCTGAGCCTACCTGGTACCAAGTTGGCTGGGCACAGGAAAGGATGAGGCATCCGGGCCCCAGGGAGGAGGAAGGCGGGCCTCCGTGAGAGGCCCCCACTGGGCTCCACGACAACCAGTGCGATGGCTGCTGAGAACAGGATGACCTGTGCTTGTGACCTCAGGCTGGGGTCAGGCTGGTCCTTGCAGGCTGTGTGACCTTGGGCCAGTCACTTAGCCTCTCCGCGCCTGTTTTCTCCCACGCTAGGTGAGGATGACATCACCTACTGTTTGTACCTGTGAAGGTTTGGCACCTTTATTTTCCCTAATTTGCAGATGAGGAATTTCATAATCCACAGAGCATAGGTGTGCTCTGGGGAGGGGAGAAGTGACTCAGGCGGTTGGCTTTAAACTCGGGGTCCTTTCTCTCAGGATGCACTGGCCCCCACCCCCTTTCTGCCTCTGCTGGGAAGGCCAATGAGTGACAACTGCCCCTTCTGCCCCCATGCCTGGGTGGGCAGTGTTCACCTGAAGGAAGGCCTGGCCTTTCTCCTGGGCTCCGTGGGTGTGACCAACCTTCTTGAAAAGTGGCAGGGCATAAAGCACCCACGATCAGTTGATTGGCATCTGGAAGGAGAAGACACAGCCATGCCCTGTGTGATGCCATACTTCTGAGAAAATGTCTGCCAGGGACAACTTTGAACCCCACTTAGCAGCCAAAGGAACTGAGACCCAGAGAGGTTGAGAGGCTTTTCTGAAGTCACACAGCATACAAATGCTGGGGCTGGGATTTGAATGCAGGTCTACCTGATTCCAGGTTCTGTGAGCCCAAGCCTGAGAGAACCCATCACCTGGGAATTTGCTGGGTCAGTGTGAGGGCGGTCATGGGGGCAGGGCAGTGAATGAGCTTTGGGGTCCAGCCCCAGCTCTGCCACTGTGACCCTCTGTGACCACTGTCCACATTTCAGTTCTGCTCTGTAAAGTGGGGGAAAAATAATAACTTGCCTGCTTGGGTGGAACCAGAGATGGAGTCAGGACTCTGGCCTGTTTGGGCCTCCCAGAGGCTGGGCTGGTGGCCCTTTCTGTAGTCCCGGTGCCTAGGATGGCGACCGGATGGGGGGACAGGACGGCAGCGCTGTGGGGCTGGCAGCCTCACTCTCTACTTTTTCGCCCAGCCACATGTGGAGCTGTCTGCACCAGAGGGAGCTGCCAGGTTCTGCTGTGACATCTCTTCTGGGTTCAGCCCATGAAACTTCAAGCGCAGGACACCCAGATGTTGGCACATCTGGGGCTCCTGGTGGGCAGGAGAGCCACAGCCCTGGGGCCTGGTGTGCTCCTCAGCCCTACCCTCTGGTTCTGCATTATTCTGCCCCTCTTGCCCTACCTGTGGCACAGTGCTCTGACAGCCCTCAAGGGCACATGGGTCCCAGGTCCTCCCACACACACACAGAAAAGTAGCTTCTTGCCTGTGGGTCCCCACCCTGAGTCAGGTCTCCCCAGACGCCTCCCAAGGAACTGTATCCAGCAGCTTGTGCTAAGCGTTCTGACATGTTCCTGCTTCCTTCCTGTGTTCTGGCCATTTCCTCTCTCTGGCCCGATGGGGCACTTTGAGGACACACGAGAGAAGACAAACCTGCTGCTCCCTGTCCCCTCTGCCAGCTGTGGGACCAGAGGAAAGTTACTTAACTCATCTGAGATGATGTCTTCATCTGAGAAATGGGGACAGTAACACCTCCCTGGGAGGCTATGGTGAAGGATAAATGAGATCCTGGGTGTTGAAAGCTAAGTGTGTGCCTGGGGCATACCAGATAGTACTTGTGGGCCATGCCACCTTGTGCCATAACCACAGGTGGGCATACACCTTGCAAAAGCAGTCAGGGCTGGGATTATGTTGATCTTACCATCCTGCCCCGCCCTTGGCCACCTTTGGGAGATTCTTTAAGAATTGACTTTCGAAGCTCTGTCAGGGTGGGGACCAGGGTGGAGTGAGTCAGTCCGGATTTGGGCCTGGGTGCCACAGATGACTGTGAAGGGTCAGAGGGAAGTCTGCTCCAGGGCTGTGGGGAAGAAAGAGGGGTCCTGGCACGAGTGGGTGGGCCACTGGGGGCTCTGGGAAGAGCTACAGTAATGGTGGTGACACTGTCTGACCCCAGTAAGGGCTATGCTTTAAACCATCCTCTACTGGACCCCTCCCCAAGTGGCCTTTTGTATTATATCCACTTTGCAGAGGAGGCAGGGAGGCCCAGAGCAGTCGAGCAAGTGGATTGGAGGCCACGCTCCACACAGAACCCACAGGAGCCTCTCGAGGAGGTGGCCCTTAAAGGGCTGGGTTCTCAGCATAACAATGCAGATGGTGACACAGGTGATACAAGGATGGGGACACGTCTGTGGTCAGGATTAAGGTCCTATTCTTTTAAAGGGGCACTTTCAAACCCGTCACTGCACTTGACTATGAGTCTGGGGACAGCCAGGACTGCACCCCAGCCCTGGGGGTCTTATCATGAGATAACACCCAAAGGAGGCAGGGAGTGGTGCAGGGGGACCCACGAGCATCCCTGGACAGCGGACGGGGCCGACCCCACCGTCCGGCGGGCGGGGGCTCATCCCAGCTCCCAAACCTGCTTGTCACTCAATCCAAGGCCACGCCCACAGACCTGGAGACCCAGAGTTCCGGGCGCAGTGCGGGCGCCTTCGCGGAGTGCCGGTAGGGCACTAAAGGAATGAAGATCCGAGGCAGCAAAGGGCTCGCCGGGCAGCACCTGCCTCGCCCGGGCCTCACCGGGAAACACAGCTTGTCCTGCCCGCCGGGACACCGTACCCTCCTGAGTCTGCGGCCGACTCGGACCCAGACCGGGCCATGGGCGGGGCTAGAACAGGGCCGCCCAGGGCCTAGAGAAAACAGTGGGCGTGGCTATACCCCCAGGCTCCGTCCCCTCTGCTGGCAAGCAGCCAGCGCTGCCTGCACCTGGCAACTGCGGGTAGCGGGGTGGGGGTGGGGCGCGCGGGATGCGGCAGCCCAGCACCCCAAGGAGGCGGGAGGCCGTGAGTGAATTTGCGGTGGCGGGGGCAAATCCATACTGCAAGAGGCTGGGGATGCCGTGTCCTTACTCTCCCCTTCTTTCATGATGATTATTATTATTTCGACCAAGACTCCAAATAGGGGATTGTGCCGCCAGGGATGTGACTTGGAGGCGTCAACATTTGCCCAGAGCTGGGACTGGTTCCCCAGAGCCCTGCAGCGCCTGACGGTGGCAGCCCCTGGCGGGTGGAGTGGGGTCTCCCACAAGCTGGAAACCCTTCTGCCGTCCCCTGGGTGCGCTGGGCTCAGGTCCGTCTTCTCTCGGGATGCGTGGGGCGGGCTCTGGAGCCAGGCAGGCTGGGTTCCAACCGCACTCAGCCACCCCTCCGCTCCGGGGCAGTCCTGACAAAGCCGCTGTCCTCATCTGTAATGCGTTTACTGTGCCCTGGCTGGACCCTGAGATGATGCACTGTCCCGGAGAGAAGGCAGCAGAAGTCGCTGTGTTCTAGAGGCAGAGTCTGGTTGATGAGTAGGTGAGGGGTGCTGTGGGCGGGCATGAAGCTGGGGACAGGGAGCACGGGCTCAAGATGTCACTCATGACCTCTCTGACAAGGAAGTAGAGGACCGGGCGTACTGCAGGTATCTGTGAGCAGAATATTGCAGACAGCAGACTGCTGTGGCAGACCTGGTGTGGCTGATGAGGAGCAGGAAAGTGAGCCTGGGGGAGCGGAAGGTGGCTTGGGGGGAACACAGCATGGGGACGTTGTGAGCCAGAGATTTAGAGGTTAGGTCCCGACAAACCCATCAAAAGCTGGAAATATCACAAGTCAATGCATGGAGTACACCTCCCCTATGGAGCCCTGGCCAGCCTGGTTTAAACATGCTCAGAACCTCTCCCCTGGCTACTGTCAGCCAAGAAAGCCTGCTTTAGGATGGAGCTGAGTGTCCTATGTCATGTATTGGCTACCACTCTGAAAGTAAAACAAGCTGGGGGTGGTGGCTCACGCCAGTAATCCCAGCACTAGGGAGGCTGAAGCAGGAGAATTGTTGTGAGTTCGAGACCAGCCTGGGCTACAAAGTGAGCACAAGGCCAGCCTGGACTGCATTGCAAGACCCTGTCTCAAGAAGAGAAAGAGAAAAAAAAGGAAGAAAGAAAGAAAGATAGAAAATAAAAGAAAAACAAAGAAAGAAAGGAAAACACAGAACCCTGGATGGGTGCATTACTAACCATTGTAAAGTAAGGAAATCTTAAATCGAGCCATCATAAGTAAGTAGGGGACCATCTGGATTTTTTTAAAAAAAGTCCTAAGCACTAGAAACACTTCCTAATTATTTTACTGCATTCTACCATTATTTATGCATGGTGGAAATAGTTAAGTAATAGGCTGCTATTTCACCCCTCCCTCTAAACTGAGTTCCATGGTCTTGGGCCTGGGAACTTCAAACCGGGCATAGTGGAGTCACTGATGCCACAAAAGTTGGCAAAGCCTACAAAGCCGGCCATTGACTGTTGATTGTTGACAGTTTCCTTGATTGTCCAGCTTTGGGAAAGTGATTGAGAAATGTTTTTATTTTTTTCTTCCGATACCAGGAATTGAACTCATGACCTTGTGCTTGCCAGGCAGGCGCTATGCCACTGAGCTAAATCCCCAGCTCCTTGATTGAAAAATGTTAACACAAACGAACCTTAAAACCTATTGGTCTACAACCATTACATTGGTGTTTATCCTTTTTTTGGTGCCAGGAATCGAACACATGACCTTGCACTTACTAGTCAAGGACTTGAACCACTGAGCTATATCCCCAGCCCTACAGCCATTACATTGGGCTAGCACAAAAAAAGTGATATTCTATGATTCAGCAAAGACGATTCTATGATTCAGCAAAGACGGCACTGCGGGAATGATACTGGGCACATCTTTTCACTTTGCTTATGAATAGTAGCAGAAATATGAACTCACATTCGTGTCACACACAGATTTAGCGACATTAAGTGGATTGCAAGAAGAATTAGCAGATGGGGGTGCAATGCATTTGTTACTCCAGTACAACCACGGGTTGGCTGCAGTTACAATGAATGGGCTGTGGGGAATTTGAGACACATTTTATAATGAAGAGCAAGATATTACACCCTGTACACTGCTACACATCACTTCCATCAACAAAATTTATAATAGATACATATGGGTATTCCCTCTCCACTGAGACCCAGTTATTGGACATCACCAGTTCGCCTCTGCCTGGGGTTCAGGGGTTGGGGCAGTGACAGGGGACAAGAGAGGACCCAGGGAAGTGGCCGGGGGTAAAACAAGAATAAGCAGAGCCTCGTGTGCCTGCAGCCCTATGGAGATGTGTTTCCGAGGAGGACATATGATCAGCTGGACCAAGGGTCTCTGCAGATCAATACGCCCAAGAAGACCAAGGATCCCCGGGTTTGGTTACAGAGCAGTGTCGGTGGCAGGGAGTGGAAGGAAACCCGACTCGAGGCAGGTTTGAGAAGCCACAGGGACCCAGTGTGCTCCTGTAGGGGGCGCCAAGGAGATGGGGGTGGGTGTTGAAGGGAGCCCTGGGTTTGGGATGGGGTGGCGTTTGCAGCACATCTGCCTGCTGGGTGCAGGAAATGGAGCAAGGCAGAACTGGGCAGAGGCCTGGTCTTGGGCAAGCTCGTCCCTCACCAGGAAGGTGGGCATGGACGTGGGCTCGAGACAGGTGTGCTAGGAGGCAAGGGGCCTCTAGGAGGCAGGAGGAGGTGACCAGCTCCGGGTGGGGAGATTCTGGAGAGAGGGGGAGTGCCGGGTGGTTTCCTGGGACAGCCAGGCAGTAGCGGGGTCACTGGAGGTCAGCGGTCATGAACCCAGGAGAGCCATAGTTGCACATGGGCACAGCTGCAGGGTGGGCAGAACACTGGCTCTGACCATGGTGGGAGCCGAGCTAGGCCCCATGAAAGAAAGAAAGATGAGCCGGGTGTGGCTGGAACAAGCGAGTGACAGCCGCAGGGACTACGGAATGGAAGCGGTGAGTGAAAGGGACAGCAGGGAGCAGGCGGAGCTGGTTCAGTGTCCCAGGGCCCCAGGCCCCAGTGGGGCTGAGGCTTGGTGGCCTTGGCGGGATAGGAGTGAGCGGATGTCCGAGTGGGTGGCAGGCAGGGCAGTCTGCGTGGGTCCAGCTCTTGGTCATGACCCAGTGTGGGGCCTCTGGGAGAATGCAAAGGTCCAGGGGACTCAAGATGATGGGGTGTGAGATGAGAAAGTGGACTCAGGTTTTCTATGGTAACGGATATAAACAATGATGAAGGGCAGGAAGGTGGGAGGATTCCTGCAGGTTATCATCGTAGCTCGGGGTGATGGAGAGGCTGCGATTGCAGGTGTGCGGAGGGGGTATCACCAACGAGCAGCCCGCCAGGCTCTGGGGAGCCTTCCTCTTTGCTGCCTCATCTGCAAAATGAGGATAATAACGCTTGCTTGGCGGGGCTGTGCGGAGCGTAGGGATGTTGAGACCAGTGCTGGTCAGCGTCATTGCTATTCGATGGGACACAGCAACCATGGCAGGGGCTGGCACGGGGTGATATGGCTTCTCCAGAGGGTTTGATACTTGTGTAGGTTCTTGGGGGCCAGGAAAGGATCAGGGAAGGGTGTAAAAGGACCCCTCCAGTGGCATCTTTGCAGCCAGGTGGATGTCTGTAAGTGGACCTGACCTTGGTGCTGGCCTCGCGGCCGATACCCTGAGGGTCGTGCGGTTGACAGAGAAGCCCTGACATGTATCGCGGACTCCGTTCCAGGTGTGAGCTCCCCACGGAGCCCTGAGACCAGCCTGGAGCCTGGCACAGAAGGCTCATGTATATTTGGGGGCCAAAGAACACGATGTCACCCCAAGGCCCTGTTGGTTTGGGTTTGGTGCCCTGTGGTCCGAGTCTGTGGGGAGCCCCCCTCTGCAGCTGCAAGAACGCTGCGCCAGCCAGCTATGCTGGCAGCAGCTGGTGTCAAGAGGAGCGGGTGGAGGCTTAGTGGCTGGGGCCCAGGCAGACAGGGCAGACAGGCCCGAGACCCCTGTGGGGCCGCCCGAAGTAAGAACCCATCCATTTGTTAACAAATGCGTTTTGAGTATAAACTGAGAGCCAGACCCTGTATAAATCCTGAGGAGACAGCAGTGAGCAAAACAGATAAAGCTCCCTGCCCTGGTGGAGCTGAGCTAGAGACCGACAACAAGCAAGGCAAGGCAAAGGGCCACGGGGAGAAGATGGCTGCTGAATGGAGTGGTGGGGCTTCACTGAGAAGCTCATGTTTAATCAGAGCCCTGAAGTTCGAGGCAGTGAGCCCTGGGGAAACCGAGGAAGAGCCTTCTATGTGTAAAGGAAAGAGCCATGCAAAGGCCCTGAGGCAGGAGAGCCTGCGTCTTTTGGGGCCAGCAGGAAGGCTAGTGTGGCTGAGGCAAAGGGAGACTTGGGGGTGTAGGCCCCTAGGGCAGTTGTTAAGGAGTAGCCCTGCCCATGACCCCATTTCGGCCACTCTCCTGAACCCTCACTCTCTTCCTCTCTTCCTTCTCTGCCAGAGATGTGCCCAGGGGTGCCAAGACCTTCAGGGTTTCTGGGAGCTCTAAGGTGGAAGTCTTAATGGCCTATGATCCCAGATGGGTGACAGAACCCACAGGCAAGGCCCACTGGCCTCTAGATGCCAATGTGGATGTGGTCGTATCCGTGGACACAGCCAGTAAGGATTTAAACGACCTCAAGGTAAGAGCCATTCCCTCAGAGTGAGGGGCTGGGTCTGCCCTACACTACCCTGACCAAAGGCGCGAGCCCCCATAGCTAGCCATGTCCACATCACCCCCACATCCACACCACACAGCATCTCCACGGACACCCAAACCTGCAGACACCCCATCACCCACCGCCACGCAGGGACACGCAGAACCCCACAGAGATGTGAGGCAGCAGGTCTCCCCGCCAACTCAGGAGTAGCCCTGGTTAACGCTGCAGTCCGCCTGCACACAAGCCCCACAAGAGGCCCCCAGGGCCTGGCGTGCGCAGGGCGGTGCAGCCCCACACCGCATGCACCTCTCTGTGCATCTGCGCATGCGCCTCTCATCCCCCACCCAGCGTGCGGATGATGCCCCCGAGACTGTACGCCGAACACAGTGGCGCCGCTTCTCCCATCCCCCACCCCGCCCGCCCTCCTGGCTTCCCGGACCAGCTCAGGGCCAGGGTGGCGCCAGCTTCCATCTGAGGGAGGCAGCCTGGGCGTCCCCTGCCACCAAGCAGGGCTGTGGACTGGGCGCCCCCGTCCCTGCTGCCGCCCTCTCTGCGGAGTGACCTTGCCCTGTGGGCTTGGGCTGGCTTTGTCCCCACAGGTGAAGGTGTCATACTTCAAGCGGCAGGAGGACGATCCCCTGGGCCACAGCGTGCTCTACCTGACTGCCGTGGGTATGTCCTGGCCCCTGACTGCGCGCAGGTGGCTGTTGGGGGCGTGGCGGAGTGGGGGCGGGCATGGGAATGCAATGGTTGGCGCAACAAGAGCCTAGAAAGTTCCTTGCCACTGGCTCGGGCCCCAGTAGGTCTCCAGCAGCCAGGTCTCTCTGGGCCCCACGGGGCGAGGGGGGCCGAGCTTGCCCACCCTGGACGTGAGGGCCATTGAAGACAGCGGCTGTTCCCTCTACCCCTTTTCCAGACGTCTCCCTCGATGTCGACACCAGCCGCACAGGCAAGGTGAAAAGGCGCCGCGGGGACAAGGTGAGGCTCCCCCACAGCGCGGGGAGCGCATCCAGCAGCCCTCACCGTGACGCAAGTCCACGTTAGCTCACACCTGCGTAGCTGTGGGAAAACAGCTCACGCCCTCGGGTCTCTCCTGTGCTGCCTTGGATTTGGGATCTGTTCTTTTTCTTGCTGTCTTTTCGATTTGGGGAACTGTATTTGGACCCCTTAAACATGGCGCGTGCTTCATGAAATGTTGTTGAGTGACTGAATGAGCTCTTTCTGGTAGAGGGGACCAGGGTAGTCAGCCCCAGTTAGACCATGAAAATGGAAGAGGAGAATGGGGTGGGCTTGGGGCTTTATCCCACAAGAAGTCCCTGGGAGGGGTAGAAGGGAAGCACCCCAGAAAGGCATTCTGGATCATAAGGCTTTGTGGATGAGGGGTGCAGAGCTGCCACGGACGGTTGTACATGCTGCTCACTGCACAAGGCCAGGGTGGCTGTGGGTCTAGCGCCTTCCTGAGGGCTCCAGTTGCCAAGTGTAGGACGCAGCTTTCAATCTTTAAGCAAACCCAAAATATAGAAGTCTCCAAGCCAACTCAGCAAGCGGCCCAGGCTGCACCCAGAGCCCCTTCCTGCCACCCCTTGGTCCCACTGACCTCGAGCCTTCTTGATTTGCCACAGAAAACCTGGCGCTGGGGCCTCGAGGGCCATGGGGCTGTTCTGCTGGTGAACTGCGACAGGGACTGCCGTGGGCCCGGGGAGCCTGATCTCCACAGCAGCCAGCCAGTGTCCCTGGACGGTAGGGCCGGAGGTGCGGGGCAGGAAGGGGCTCTGCTGGCGGGGTGCAGGAAGGGCTTTCTCAAGGGGGCCGCTCCCCCAGACCTGCAGGACATGTCCCCCATCGTGCTGACCTGTGACGGCCCCGATGAGCTCTTCGACAGACACAAGCTGGTCCTGAGCGTGTCCCAGTCCGACTCCAGGAGGGTGCGGGTCTTCCGTGCTCAGGGTGAGTGGCTCAGGGTTCTTTGCTCCCATCCTCTGTCCTCCCTCCCTTCCCCGTGGCTCTCGTCCTCCCATCGTCCCCCCAACTCTCACAGAAACCCGCAAACAAACGCTCCATCTGTGTGGCAGGGCTCCCACGCCAGGCTCAGCTTACGGTCCCTTTTTTTATTTGTTTTTTTTTGGTACAGGGTCTCACTATGTAGTTCATCCTGGCCTTGAATTCGCAGCGATCCTCCTGCCTCAGCCTCCTGAGTGCTGGGATTACAAGCGTGTACCACCATGCCTGGCCTCTGGTCCCTTTTTACAGAGAGGGAAACTGAGGCTCAGATGCAGAAACTCACTGGCGCACAACCAGCTGGTGGGGGAGCAGGTTTGCCAGCCAGATGCCTTGGGGCCACAGCTCTTCCTCTTTCTACCACCCTCTGGGCAGCCCGCGTAGACAGCTCTCTCACTGCTGCTGGGCACTGTCCGGGCAAGAACCAGAAAGGCTGAGCTCAGCCCTGCCCCCGTGCCCGCCGTCCTGCTGGCATTTTTGTTTATCAAGATCTGTAGCTTAGGGGCTCGGGCAAAGCTCAGTGGTAGAGCATTCGTCTGGCATCAAGAGGCCCTGGGTTCCATCCCCGGCACTAAAGCAAAAAAAATCTGTCGCTTTAAACCACACACCAGTCCTTAACCCTGAGGTGCCCACGCCTGCTTTTATAAGAAGACAGACCCCTCTGCTGCCCATCCACAGAGCCACCCCCGCTAAGCTTTTCTTGTTGTTGATGTTAAATTGAGAGAAGTTAAAATAATATAAGACTGTTGGCCGTGGTGGTGCACGCCTGTAATCCCAGCACTCGGGAGGCTGAGGCAGGAGGATCGTTGTGAGTTCGAAGCCAGCACGGGCTACAAAGTGAGCTCAAGACCAGCCTGAACTACATAGTGAGACCCTGTCTCCTAAAGACAAGAAAAAGAAAGATAATAAAAGATTGTTTATTCTATCCTTTGGTTTTGATGCCGGGGATGGAGCCCAGCGGCTAGAACATGCCAAGCAAGCGCTCTGCCACTGACCAACAGCCTGGCCCCAATTCAAGCCTGGCAAAGCAAGCAGCTGATGGCTTTTAGAGCACTCTCGAGCCCCACCTCCCTCTCGTCCCTCATCACCCCATTTGCTCAGTTGCCCTGTCTGTGCTCCACCTTGGGATCCTCCTGCCTCAGCCTCTCAGAGTACAGGTATAATCCTTCTCAGATGTACACTCTCAGAGGCAGCTACTCCCTCACTTTTGGGGATGGAGAGTGTCCCATCTCAGGGGTGCACCACACTTTGTACATTTTGTTTCTCTTCATCCATGAAGAGACATTTGGGTGTTTTCATCTTTGACACTGAGTGTTTTTTGCTCTTTATGCAGTTTAAAGTTTACCTTAGCCCATTCTACATAGAGGAACTGAGGCACAGAGAGGTTGAGTCACTGAGCCAAAGTCACACAGCTCTGCATGAAAAGACTTGGAGAGGAACCCAAGTAGCAGTGCCGGGGATATAGTTCAGGGGCATAAAAGCTTGCCTGGCAAGCCTGAGGTCATGAGTTCGATTGCCGGTACCAAAAGGAAAAAAAAAAACCCAAGTAGCCCTAACCAAAAAGGCAGCTCTGCCCTTGGATTCCCAACTGTGGCTATGTCATCAGCCCTGGCAGGCATCCCCCTTCCCCGAGGCATCCCAGTACAGGTGCCAACTCTGGTTCTCCCTAGGCGGAACTTCCGTCTCTGACTACCAGCAGGTGCTGGGGCCCAGGCACCTGTCCCACCGAGTGGAGCGGCAGCGGGGGGAGCGCGAGATCAGATTCTGCGCTGAGGGCCTCGCCTTTCCGGACGCCGACTTCTCGGGGCTGGTCTCCCTCAGTGTCGGCCTGGTGGACACAGCGGTAGGCCCGCGCTGGTGCAGGGCACGGTGGTGAGGGGTTCGGGGAGCCTGTCCATCTGGGTGGGCTGGGGTCCCCACGAGGCTGCTGAGTCCCCCTCTCTCCCCAGCCGCTGCCCGAGGTGCCTCTCTTCACAGACACCGTGGTCTTCCGCGTGGCGCCCTGGATCATGACCCCCAACACCCAGCCGCCCGTGGAGCTGTACGTGTGCAGGTGAGCCCCCTCCCCGCTGCTGGCCCGCTCACTGGCCTGGAGAGGTGGCCCTGGGTGGCTGTGGAGCAGAGCGGGGCACAGGACAGCAGCAGGTGGTCCAGGGGCCCTGCCCTGAGCAGCCGGAGTCCGGCCGAGGTCATAGGCGCAAGCTCCACCATCTTGTCCCCACCCCGGTCCTGTCGCAGAGCCCAGAGCACACAGATTTGGTCCAGGCAGGGGGTCCAGCCTTGCTCAGGCTGCTGGGGGCCATGGGAGGCTTGGCTCCCTCTGACGAGGCTATACCTCTGCCCGCTGAGGACAGGGACCCAACCTCCAGGGTCCACCAGGGTCTCGGCCTTCGCTATCTCCTGCTCAGGGCCCTGGTGGCCTCAGCATCTCAGGTCAGACCCACAGAAAGAGCTGAGGCTGAGCAGGGTGGAAGTGAAGGGTAGTGAAGGGCGTGGCCACAGGCTGGCCCAGGTGCTTGCGGGTGTTGAGGAGGGAGCTCCCCTCCTGCAGGCTCTCTGCCCCCACTTGACCCTTTGCTGAGGTCCCCACCTTTTCTATCCTCCCCAGGAAGATGCAGTCCCAGGTCACCGCCACGGCCACCTCCCCACCACCTGTCCTTACTGCCCACACTGCCCACAGGTCACTGATAGCTGGGGCCCCACCCGCCCCCGGCTCTTAGCCCGTGAGCCTCTCTCAGGACGGGATGAACCTGAAGCTCTACCCCAGGGGCTGCACGGGGCCCAGCAGCCTGACTCCAAGTCACGGCCAGAGGTCGCCATCACACTCCCTCTGCGTCTTTTACAGCGTCACAGACGCGCATGGCTCCAATGAGAAGTTTCTGGACGACATGGCTTCCCTGGCGCTGAAGGCCAATTGCAAGCTGGTCGTCTGCCCCCGGGTGGAGAACCGCAACGACCGCTGGATCCAGGTGGGTGCGGAGCGGCTCCGGAAAGGACCCTGCCCTGCAGCTGAGCTTGGGGACCAGAACCTGGACGGAGCCCCACTGCCTCAGCCTCCCCAGAGGAGCCAGGGACCCAGCCCTCTCCCGTGGGGCCCTGGGGCCTCACCTCCGCCCACCCACCCCGCCCCAGGTCTTGGGGGAGCTGGTGCGCTGGGTGGGGTCACCTGTGCTGTAAACCATCCTGCGGCTTTTTCTTCTTCCCCCAGGACGAGATGGAGTTCGGCTACGTCGAGGCCCCTCACAAATCCTTCCCTGTGGTCTTTGACTCCCCCAGGAACAGAGGCCTGAGGGATTTCCCCTATAAGAAGATCCTGGTGTGTGGCACAGGGCAAAGATGGCGGAGATAGAAGGGCACAGGAGGTCGAGCGCCAGCAATGGGGAGTCGGGGGATGTGAGGCAGGGGTTGCAAATTAGATGCAAATTTTATGCAAATAAGGACTTCCTATGGCAAATAAGTGACTAACCCTATTCTGAGAGTGGCAGAGCAGCAAAGTTCTAGGTAAGGGGCTTGTTCCCAGCGGGAAACAACAGAAGAGGTCAAACTGCTTTTTTAGGGGAATGCATGCTTAACGAGCCCTCACAGCTTTTGTATTTAAGGCCTGCTGCCTGTCTTCAGACAGCAGATGTTTTCTGAACACCTACTTTGTGCCAGGCACTATGCTGCCTCCTGTGCACAAGATTGGGGTGGCAGCGGCTGCCATCAGACACTGAGTTCCAGGCACTGTCTCCTAGAATTCTCTGGGGCCCTCCGCCCTATTGCTAATATGTACAGTTATATTCTCTCTTTGTGGATGAGGAAACTGAGGTTCAGAGATGTCAAGTAACTGGCCCGAGGCCTTGCAGTGAGTCTGTGGTAGCCTCAGTATGCAAAACCAGGCAGGCGCCCTCCGCGGTCCCTGCACTCACCACTAGGCTACACCGTCTTTTAAAGTGGGCACTGTCTCTGCCTATTTCTGGCCCCTCTCCCTCCCACTGGGACGGAGCTGGCCCCTGTGGGGGCTGTGACCCCATGACAGGGAAGTCCCAGAGCCCGTGGGTACACAGAGCAGGGCCGTTCACCCCAGCCTGGAGGGGCCGGGTGACGGGGAGGCCTGCAGGGTGAGTGCCTGGACCAGCGGCGCGTGGGGCGGTGGGGCGGGGGTCCAGCTTGGCGGGCAGGTGCCAGGGGAGTTTTCAGATTCCCGCTCTCACAGCTGCTGTTTCCCGTGTTCTTTCTTTGTGTTTCCCTTGTTGCTCTTTCCCTAGCTCGAAACGGAGGCTGCAACTTCGCATCCCTTCTTCCTCTCATGCATGTGTTTGGGGTCCCTGGCGTCACCCCGTCCCCTCTCCATGCTCCTGCTGGGCCCCTCTACTTTTCCTGTGCTGTATTTTTGTTATCCTTCATCTATAGGTGGCCTCACTTCTGCTTGGATTTCCTCTTCGGCCATGGGTTCTTCAGACATGTGCTCCTTAATTTGCAAACAGCGAGGGACCCTCTGGTTACCTCGGGGGTTGGGGCTTAAATTTAAACTGCAAGGTGCCCAGAAGGCAGGGGGTGTGGGAGAGGGGCTCCAGGTAGTTTTCCAGGTGTGACAGAGTCCTTTTCTGGAGCCACCCTGCCTGTCCTAACTGACCCCTCCTGCTTGGGCCGGGGTCTTGCTGGTCCCTCCCTAGGGTCCTGACTTTGGCTACGTGACCCGGGAGCTTCTCTTCTCTGGCGCCTCCAGCTTAGATTCCTTTGGCAACCTGGACGTCAGCCCGCCCGTGACAGTGGGTGACACGGAGTACCCCCTGGGCCGGATCCTCATCGGTGGCAGCTTCCCCAAGTGAGAGGCCAGCGGGGAGGGGACGGGGGCACGTGGGATGATGGCAGTGCCCACCCTGGAGGGTCCCTGCTCACCAGCACAGTTCCTCAACCCACAGCACGAGAGGTGGTCTTACTGTCCTGCCTGATCCGAATCCTCCAGAGACTCAGATGCTGGAATCTTAGATTTAAAAGCTTACAGAATCACAGGAGAAAACTAGTGGCCCTGGGTCTTTTGGCCACTAATTGTATGAGCTTAGTCACCAGCGTTACATATGTGCACTGGGAGGCCCCAGAGAAAAAGCCAGACCTCCGGCTTCTCTGTGACTTCGGCAGAGCTGCAGGGGTGACGTGTCCGGCACAGGGCAGGGGAAGGGCTTGGTGGCGTCTCCCACCAGGAAGCCAGGATAGCTGCTGTCCTAGCAAGAGAGGGAAAGGTCCAGAGGTCACCAGAGCCCAGGGCAGCTGGTTGCAGGTGAGTGAGTGATTGACCAGGCTGCCAGGGTGACTTGGTGGGTAGCATCCCGGGCAGGGCACAAGGCATTTAGGGCTTAGTGCTCAGACGGGTGATAGTGCCAGCTACCCCCAGCCAAGTGGGTCCACACCCTGCCTGAAGGTAACCGATAAGGGAATGTGTCTCAGGATCCCACTACAAGCCTCAGAGGTTACCTGTCCATTTGTGAGGGGCTGGCGTGGAGCCTGGTTACGTCCTAACTTGCACCCCTGGCCTGGCTGGCCTTGGATCCAGGGCCCAGGAACCAGGCGGCGCTGGCCTTCCCAGCCTTGGCAGTCAGTCCTTGGTATTGCCAGCTCTCAGCTCTTAGCGTGACTGGCTCAGCCTTGCGTTCTTTTGCTCCATTTGAGGTGGAAATCGTGAAAAGGAACACGTCTTTGCTGGGTCTTGTGCCCAGGCGCAGGGGAGGCGGCACACGAGACGGGGCGACCTGGCTGGCGCGTGAGGCTGAGGCAGGCTGAAAGGCGGCTCATGTGGCTCGGCCAGCTCTTTCACGCGATCCCAGCAGTTCTGCACAGCAGTTCTGTCGGCACCAGGGTTTGCTGTTGACTTGATGATCTACATCTGCATGTTGGGGTCTCCTGTGCCCCTCTTACAAAGATGGCGGAGGCGCTCGCCACGGCCACCCCAGGAAGGCGTCTGTGGGCAGAGCTCAGGCATAGGGAGCCAGGGAAGGGTGCTGGGAAGCTTGGGGGAAGAGCCAGCAGCTCCTGAACGGGTCCCTGGTGGAAACTGCCTTGCGGTGATCCCTTATGATGTGCCATGCACACGCTGCTTCACGCAGATGACATCGTTTACTCCTGTGCCAGCCCTACTGGGGTGTGACGATTCTGGTCTTTGAGTGACAGCTGGGGAAGCTGAGGCTCCAAAAAGGGAAGCTACACACGTGCGTTCGTACACTTGCTTCCTGGCACAGCTCAGGGCCCTCCTGCCCGTGATGTCACCTCAAGTGGCAGTCAGCAGCCTCAGACTCTGAATCAGGCTAGGAGAGGTTTCCTGGGTAACCAGGGTGCTGAAGTGGGTGCCCAGGCCTGGTGTCTGGGGGAGAGAGGAGATGCCCACCAGCTCGTGATTATGCTGGGGCTGGGTCCTGCCCACACTCGGGGGCTAGAAGCCCTTGAGGCCTCTGAAGAGTCCTTCCGTGAGATCAGGGAGGGATGCATGAGTATGGCGCTCGGTCCTGTGAATCAGATGGCCTTGGGTTTGAGTCCTGGCTTTGCCACTTACCTGCCAAGTGATTTGGGTACCTGCCACAGTGCCCAGCACATAGTAGGTGCTCAATTAATTCATTAAAAAATATTTATCGTATGCCAGGCACAGTTGGAAGTGTTAGGGATATGTTTCTAAACACTGTAGGTACATCTTACATAAGGAATGTATTTTATATACATTTGTATACATATTTTATATACCATGCCTCAGTTTCCTCCTCTGTAAAATTGGCCTCATAAAAAAATCTCTGTGATAGCTATATAATCAGCATGAGAGGGGATAAAGAACCCATTAAATTGCCTTTCCAGTGCTTATGGAATGTTCAGCTGGCCCCCAGGCATGGAAGCAGGTTAGAACTCACAGGGCCAGTTGTATGACTACCTACTGCTTGGCATGCACGTGGTGTGTTACCCAATTCCCTCATTTAATCCACCAGCCCTGTTGGGTCGGCACTATGCCTAGCCTTGTGTTACAGGTGAGGGAACTGGGGCTCAGACACACGCCTTCACTCCCGTAGTCATCTACCAGCTCAATACGCATTATCGGGACTTCCTGTAAGCCAGGCCTGGGACCCAGCTAAGGACGCAGAGATGACCAAGGAACCCATCCTGGAGTTTGCAGCATGACGAGGGAGACAGGCCTGGGCCTCGGTGGAAGGGAGCTCTGAATGGGGACAGACTGATGGGTCAGCACCCAGCATGGCCCTGCAGGTCCGCGCTGGGTGACGCGTGACAGCCTGCAGCCATTGCTCAGGCCCTGGTGAGGTCATTCCCCACCTCCAGCAGCCCACGAACCCCAGCGCAGGAGGTAGGGGCGGGAGGTGGGGAGGCCTCTCTGAGTCCCCCAGGCTTCGCTGGCAGCTTCGTGTCTAGGACCACACAGCATGTTAGTGGCACAAGCAGCACCCAGCTCTCCTGCCCTGGGGCCAGGGTGCAGCCCTGAGCCCTTTCTGTGACTTTTTGTTTGTTTCTTTTGACTTTTTAAGTCAGGGTCTCGCTGTGCAGTTCAGGCTGGCCTTGAGTTCACTTTCTAGCCCAAAGTGGCCTCAAACTTGCAGCAATCCTCCTGCCTCAGCCTCCCGAGTGCTGGGATTACAGGTGTGTGCCACCGCTCCCAGCCTTTTCAGTGGCCTCTTAGCTCAGCAGTGATCAGAAACCTGCACACATTCGGGCAAGAGAGACAGGCAGTTCACAAACAACCAGCAAGTAAGCCGCATGGTGCCTCTGGCGAGCAAATGACGTGTGGACGCGTGAATGAGTGCATGCAGTTTCTCTCTGCTGAGCCTCAATGTCCTCATCTGGAGAACGGGGATAGTACTAGCACCTCACAGGGCTAGGGTCAGGATTACATCAGGTAACCTGGCTAAATCACTATGTGCCTGGCACACAGTTAAATGATCGATGCATTTTTTGCACACGTGGGTGGAAATCTGACATTTAACAAAGCCTTGAAGGAAGTAAGGGAGTTAAAGATGTGCTGTCTGGGAGGAGAACGTTCCTGGGAATGGAAGCTGCTTTTGCAGAGGTCCTGCGGGAAGAGTGTGCCAAAGACAGACATTAGAGGAACAGCAAAGGAGGCCGGCTGGGCTGGAGCCGAGTGTACAAGGAGAGGCAGTGAGGACTGATGTCTCGGAGGTTGGCAGAGCACACGTCACGTGACCTGAGCCGATATTTTCACATATGTTCAGGGGCCACTAGAGGATCACCTGAGATACTTAATGACAGGGAAGTAAGACGGGCACATAGCAGGTGATCAACAAACACGACGTCCTCTCTGCAGTCTGGTTCTCTACCCCTGTGGCCCACATAGATCATTCTTTGGACGTTTCCGCCCCCTAGCGGCGTCTTTGATGATCACTCAGGCAGGGCCGCAGCGCCCCGGCCTGGACGCTTTGGGTCCAAGCCTCTGCCACCACCCCGACCCCATATCTCTGAGCATGCAGAGTGCCCTGGAGGACTCTGGTCCTTCCCCGGCGCCTCGCTCTCTGCCTCCTGCTTCTGTCTTCTCATGAATACTCCTGAAGCCCAGCTCTGCTTCCCATCAACTCACTGCTTTAAACACAGCACTTGGGAGGCTGAGGTAGGCATATCGCTGCAAGTTTGAGCTCAGCCTGAGGTGCAAAGTGAGTTCAAGACCAGCCTGGACTATGTATCGAGATCTTGTCTTTTTAAAAAGTCCTTTAAAATTTTATTTCGTAGTAAAACAACAAAATACAAAAAAACATTTCCCACAAATCCCATCCCAAAAATTTAAATCAGGGCCTTCATCTGTCCCACACGAGATTTTTGTAGACCACAGATTGTTGGGACCTCACGGGTCCAAAGCATCTTTACCGCATCTGACCGTTTTGAAGTGTGTATCATGCACGAGGTGCTGGGGGGAAAGCTGGAAACAGCTTAGACAAAAGGCCTGTCCGTGGGGAACTTATTTTCTCTGGGGCTGGCGGACAACAATGAAACATCAGTCTGCTGGACGTCACCCAATGCTGCAGAAAAAAATAAAGACAGGCGGGGGCTGCGAAGTTGTTGCCACTTTCAAAGCTCAGAGAGAAGGTGAATTGAGTTAGATCTGAAGAAGGAAGGACAGAAGCCATGGCCGTGGAGCGTGGGCAACTGGGCACACGACAGCTGGCCAGGTGGTGGCAGAGGGAGGGTGCTTCTGTCCCTTGGTTAGGGTAGAGCCACCAGAGTGGGTGCGGGTCTGGGAGCTGGCCCATCTGTCCTTAAGGCAGACAAGGGAGGGCAAGAAGCATGACCCTAGTTTATAAAACTATAAAACAGATTGAGAATTAGCGTGCATTCATGTCTTCACGCACTGCCAGGGAAGGGTAGAAAGTGTCCACAGTCTTAAGGCACCCAGACTTTAACACCCACCTCCTTCGTTTAGTTAGCCTCAGCTGCGGGATCTGTGAAATGGGGACATTGAGGGTCCCTCCCTGATGGATAATGTCTTCCCCTGTCCTGTGGATGGTCTCCACGCACAGGACCTGTGTTCTGTTCTGCTGCCCTTGCTCTAAGCATCCTTGTGTCTGTCCATGTCAGCTCCCTGACAAAGGATGGTATGAAAATGCCCAGACCTGGTTTCCTGGGGACAGGACACCGTGGAACACAAATGCCTAGAGCAGGTGCTCAAACTTTGCAATGTACGAGAATCAGACAGCCACCCAAACGCAGATTCCTGGGCTACATCCTCCAAGCCTGTGAGGTGGAGCAGTTCCAGTGCCCAGGAATCTCACTGAAACAAAGCCCTCTGTCCTGCTGAATCTTTTTGTTTTGTTTTGTTTTTTTCTGGTACCAGGAATCAAACTCACAGCCTTGCGCTTGCCAGGCAGGTGCTGTGCCGCTGAGCTAAATCCCCAGCCCTCCTCCCGCTCAATCTGACTCTGTGCTCAAGCAGGAACTTGCCAGGTCCTGGTCCCATTTTGAGCAAAAGCTGTGTGTCCCTCGAGAAAAAGGCTGATCTCTCTGAATCCCAGGCTGTGAAACGAGGGTCTCTGGCTCTGCCTGGCAGGTGGAGCTCTGTCCTGTCTGTCCCGTGACTCCTTCCAGCGGGGGTGACCTGGAAGGCTGGGTAGTGCAGGGTGCATACTCTGGAAGATGAGCAATGTGAAGACCAGCTTCCAGGCTGGGGCGGGGCCCACATCTGGCAGAACCCACCTGTCACAGGTCCCGGGTGATGCTGGGCGGGACATAGACGGTACTGGGGGGAGAGACACACTTCCTGCCTTCCCAACTGGTCCCCCTGCCTCCAGCCTCAGCTTTGGCTTAGAACTGGGGAGGTTTGGCCCTGTCGTTTCCCAGCTGTGTGGCCCGGGCTCGATGGGCCTCAGTTTCCACATCTGGGAAAGAGGGCTCTTGCTGTGCGGCTTGGGATGGGCGGTGCACACACCAGCACGGGAGGGGCACGAGGTGACAGCCATGCTGTCTCCGCAGGTCCAGCGGGCGGCGGATGGCCAAGGTGGTGCGCGACTTCCTGGCAGCACAGCAGGTGCAGGCGCCCCTGGAGCTCTACTCGGACTGGCTGTCCGTAGGCCACGTGGATGAGTTCCTGAGCTTTGTGCCCACCTCCGACCCGAAGGTGTGTCCCCACTGCCTCCTCCCCCTTCCATGGCGTTTCCTGAGCTGCTTCTGCCCCTGCCTGGCCTGATGGTGCCACCTGGACCTGGCTCCACCCTGTGTCCAGGGGGCTGAGACCAGGCTGTGTCAACCAGGGGGAGCTTCCTGGAGGATGTGGGTGTGTACTCAGACCCAAATTCCTCTGTCAAGGGCCAGGAACAGCATTGATAATAATAGGTAAACTTACTGAGCACCTACTATGTGCCTGCTATGTGCTTCATGTGTGCAATCCTCCACCAAGCCCAAGAGGTGGTGCTGTTATCATTGGCCCCCTTTTACGGGTAAGGAAATGGAAGCTCAGAAGGGCCATTCACTCACCCAAGCTCACATGCCTGCAGGAGGCAGGGTAGGAGTCAAATCCAGATGGGAGCTCTGGTCTCTGCGCTAGCCACTGGGCTCCACTGCCTCACAGAGGCACCAAGGAGGGCATGGTCCTCAAGGATCAAGCAGGCTGGTGGTTCCAGGCCAGTGAGGAGGAGCTCCAATGGGCAGGGACAGGGTGTAGCTGGAGATGTGCCAACCTCTACCTGTGCCCATGAAGGGGACTCCTGCATTGGGGCTTAAAGGCAGAAATAGGAGTTCGGTGGGCCAAGTGGGAAGGACGTCAGGTGGGTTGGGGGCATTGCAGACAGTCTTGTGGCTGGTGCTGGCATCAAGCGGCAGAAGGGAGGCCCATGCATAGTCTGGCTCTTGTACTTGGGCACTGCCTGGGCTTAGGTCCCCTGCGCCAGGCAGCCGTGCACTGAGCTGTCCCCCCACTCTGTGCCAGGGCTTCCGGATGCTCCTGGCCAGCCCCAGCGCCTGCCTCAAGCTGTTCCAGGAAAAGAAAGAGGAGGGCTACGGGGAGGCGGCCCAGTTTGCTGGTAAGTGCAAGGGCCCAGCCCCCACCCACCCTGGGGAGCGCTTGCCCTTTCATCTCCAGCCCAGGCACTGCCCTTCAAGGCTCTGCCCAGGCTGCTTTGGAGCCTGATTGATGCCCTTGGGTGCTTGGGGACGTGGGATGAGAGCTCAGCCTCTCCTGGGTCAGGGGTGGGAAGCTGAGGGCCCCAGGTCCTCAGGTAGGCAGGGCATTTCCCGTCCATGCCCCAGGAGAAGATGTGGCCTTCCCCATGGCGAGACCTGGGTTCAAATCCTAGTCTCAGCATCTGCTGGCTGTGGGCTCAGCCACAGGGAGCTCTGGACCTCTCCTGTCTGAGTTTCCTCTTCTCATGAGCAGAGGGGATAATTAACTGTTCTAGAGCTGTTTTAAAGATTAACAATCGCCTAAGTAGGCTTCCCGGAGCACTGTGGGTGTTCAGTAATGGTAGCCGCGCTCTAATTATTAGGCCCCGAGTCCCGGAGTCCCTTCCCAGGGTCTCTGACCTGCCACTGGGCTGAACCTGCAGCTCTGGCTTTCGCCATGCTGGCTCCTGACCCTGGCGTGGTTGGGAGGAACATCCCGCCCTGGGTTATGTCACCCCAGGGTGAGGTGGCCCCGGGGGAGGATTCCCCGGGCGCTGCACTCTCTTTCTCTTGCAGGGTTGAGACACAAGGCAAAGAGAAGCATTAACGAGATGCTGGCGGACAGACGCCTCAGGAGTGACAGCCTCCACGTCCAGGTGAGGGACATGCAGCCTGGGCAGCGCTGGGTACTGGCCTGGGCCTGTGCTCATCCTGGAGCTGCTGGGAGGCTGAGGCGTGAGGGATTCCACAACAGGTGGAAAGGCAGCGCCGTGCCCTGAGAGCCCCAGTCCTGGGAGGGAGCCCTGGCCTTGCTGGGTGGTGAGGGAGATGACGCATTCCCATGGCAACAGATACGGGTTCTCCGGAAGTATGGCGAATGAGAGATGTGGGGAGAAAGGGGTCTGGTGGGCAGCACTGCAGGGAACCAGGCCCCAAGGCCTCCGGCAGGGGCGCCCCATGCTGCCTGCCACAGACGGCAGCACGACAGCAGCCTGCGGCCCCTTCCAACGGCGGCCACCTCCTCTGAGTGCTGAGATGGACAGCAGCACACGCCCCGCCGTGGCTGGGACTGGGACAGCGTGTCCGAGTGACAAGGACTTGGAACCGGAAACTGCCCAGATCCAACCCCAACCCAGCCCCTTCTGAGCTCTGGGCCTTGCTCCTCATTACTGAGGCCGCCCTTGCCTCAGTTTCCCCACCTGGGGACCACAGTGGCCTCTGTGTCACAGAGCCACGTGAGGCCCTAAGGAGCCGACAGGTGCTCAGGTCCGCTTAGGTCCTGCTGGCCCAGGGCTGCCTGCCACCTTCCTCCCCAGAAATGCATCGACTGGAACCGCGAGGTGCTGAAGCGCGAGCTGGGCCTGGCCGAGGGCGACATCATCGACATCCCGCAGCTCTTCTCCCTGAAGGGCGCCTACGCCGAGGCCTTCTTCCCCGACATGGTGAGCAAGAGCCCCATCTCAGGTCCTACAGTCGGAGGCAAAGCAGCCCTGTCCCAGGGCCGCAGGACCTGCCGTTGGTGCAGCTGGGGACAGCTCTGTCCGTGTCCCCCACGTTTGAGTGTGCAGTGAGGGGTGCCATGGGACCTGGTGGGGGAGACCCAGGTGTCCACCCCGTAGGGCACGGGACTGTCCCCAGCACAAAGGGCTTTGTCTAAGCCCCGCCCCAAATGGCAGAAGAAAATGTGGTTTGGTTCCAAGGGTTTCCGGCTTCTGTTTGGCAGCAGCGGCCTCCAGGGTGACAGCAGGCTGCCCGAGTCGGGCAGGCAGGGCGGCAGTAGTGCTGCTGAGGCAGCCGATGGGCAGATGAGCAGAGGTGACCTCACCTGGGTGGCACCCGGCAGGAGCCGGAATGATGCTCTTGGTGCAGCCTGACCCGGGTGCCCGCTGCTCTGGGGAAGGCTGCGGGGCCACCCCCTGTGCTGGCGCTCGGATGCTGAACACCATCACTGGCCTCTGCCCACTAGATGCCAGTCAGCACTTCCCTGGATTTTTTTTTTTTTTTAAATAGGGCCTTGCTGTCTCATTTAGGCTGGCCTCGAACTCATGACCATCCCTCTGCCTTCAGCTCCCGGAGTGCTAGGATTGTAGCCCTGCCCCACCACACCCAGTTTACTGTGATTTAATTTTGATTTAAACAGCCACATGGCTAGCGGCTGCCGTTTGGGGTGGCAGAGCTCTAAGGGGCCACTGGCCCTTGGTTCTGCTTAGGGTGAGGAGGGCCGAGGCTGGGGCCCATGACCCTCGCCCTCCCTGGGCTATGGCTGGGGAGTCCTACCTGTGGGGAGCCCCTCCCTGGCAGAACCGCCTTTGAGTATTTTCTAGCTGCTATCCAGGCTCCCCTATGGGAACCCCGTCTGTCCTCACCAGAAGGCCGTTCGGGGGACGTTCAGTGACTTCATTTGTCAAGTGGGGAGACTGAGGCCTCAGCAGGACAGTGGGTGACTTGCCCGAGGTCACACAGTGCTTGGTCTGGTGTCCCTCACTCAGGAGGAGCAGAGCCTGGTGGTGGTGGCTGTGAACCTGGCTCCTTGGTCCTGTCCCTGCCCTTGGTCCCTGGCCCGGCCCTCCCCCATCCATCCTGTTCTGGCCGTTTGTGGGCACCAAGGGGGTTCGAGCCCAGGCCAAGGACTCACCCATGGGTCCCTCAGCTTCACATTGGTCCTGGCCACAGGTTACACTGCAGGGCAGGGGGCATGGCACGGAGAGTGGGGATCCAGGGTCCTAGGCACCTGATCACCCCCAGACGGTGGCCCAGAGCCCCCCTTGGACATCGCAGCAGCCCCCTTACGCCTCATGCTACCACTCTGGAGCTGAGAGTTCCCCTGAGAAATCGTCACAATACCTGTCCAGGGGACTGCCCTTCTCCAGGATGAGGACCTAAGCCACCAAGAGAAGCAGAGGTGCCACCACCAATAAACTCAGTGTCCCCAAGGGCTCTCAGCCCCAGCCCCCAATTCTTCAGACCCACAGGTGGCCCTGTTCCGGCAAGAGGTCAAGAGCATGGACTTCAGCCTGAGTCAGATCCAAGTGCAGGCTTTAGTCTCACCGCTCTCTGGCTGAGTGGTCATGATCGTTACTTAACTGTTTGAACCACCACTGCAGAGGGAGGCTGTGAGCTTTAGTGACGATATAGCTGACACATAAAAGATGCTCAATAAATGGTTAACATGATCAGGACTGCCAAAGACAGTTGGGCAGGCTGGGCACTGCAGACGCACCCCCATCTGATTCACCCCATGGTAGCTCTGTATATTTGTTGTACAAGTTTTCTGGCAGATGGCAGGAAAACCTCTTGTTACACGTGACCATCTTCTGATACATGGAAGAAAGCGTGGGAGGAAGGGGTGACTTTGATTGGTAAAAATGTTAATTCTGCCTTCCAACCGTGCATCTGCTTTCACAGCCCTCGTCCTTGAGTGGTGGAGGGTCCTGGGGGCCCAGGAGTGCTGGTGAGGTGACAGGCCCTGGGGATGGGTTGCTGTAGCCAGCCCAGCCTTCTCTTGCCTTCTGTTTCCTGCAGGTGAACATGGTGGTGCTGGGCAAGTTCCTGGGCATCCCCAAGCCCTATGGGCCGGTCATCAACGGCCGCTGCTGCCTGGAGGAGCAGGTGCGCTCGCTGCTGGAGCCGCTGGGCCTGCACTGTGTCTTCATCGATGACTACTTGTCCTACCACCGGCTGCAAGGCGAGATTCACTGCGGTACCAACGTGCGCCGGAAGCCGTTCACCTTCAAGTGGTGGCACGCGGTGCCTTGAGCCTGCTACCCCCTGCCGTCCCCTCTGGCCCCCTGCTGGGAACCCTGCCCGGGCAAGGGTGAGGACACACACCGGCCTCCCTCTTTTGGGGGCCCTTGGCACAGCAGCCCTGGTGCCTGCAAGCGTGCTGGCCACTGTGGACGCTGGACTCCAGGGATCGAGGCCACCCTGCCTGGCCCAAGGATGACCGTCCCCATCGTCTCCTCCCCTTCCTTAGCCACTGCCCCCAGCGGTCTAAGGCCAGTAGCCTTCATACATCCAAGCTGGCCGCAAATGCCTCCCCTCTATCCGGAGGCCTCCTGGGGGCGTAGGAAGGGTGGCTTTGCGTCTGCACCAGGAGTGGGAGCCAGCCCCCCAGGGTCTGCCGTGAGGATTTCCATTCCAGGTGGCCTGTGGCTCCCGTCAGACCAGGCGATCCGGGGCACCCTCCTTCCAAAGGGGACCCAGGCCGTGATTCCCCCCCCCCCCCCTCCAGTGCCCTTCAGCTATAGGAAGCAAACAGGGACAGGAAACCCTGGTGTCCGAGGGCTTGTTTTAAAAAGAAAGGAGGCAACAAAACCCCTTTAATATCTGCCTCAGCCCTCGAAGGGTGCTCGTTACCTGTCTGGAAGCCTTTAATTAAGGAGAGCTAGCTGCTTCCGGCCTAAAAACGCTGAGCGGGGGAGAGGAACTTGGGGAGGCTGAGGAAGGAGGCCTGGACAGGAGGGGACGAGGTCAGAGTGGCAGAAAAGGCTGGGCAGTGACCTCCGGGCCCGGAGGCTTCTGCACCCTTGGATGGCCAGGGCTTTGGATTTTGAACTCTGAATCTGTAGGCAGCTGGCTGTTCCAGATGTGGTGGGGGTGGGGCCCAGATGTTAGACGAGGGTGGGGGACCATTAGGTTATCTCTGAAGGTGGAGCTTAATTTCCTTTAATAGTCTGTCATTATCCCCTTCCTTCTGCAGGCAGGGGGAGGGGAAGGCTGGTCCGCTGTCCCTCAGCAACCCGTCCCCCCCACATCACGCACATGCACGCACACATGCACACACGCATGCAGCTTTGCCTGTGAGCAACGCCCTGTGACAGGCCGGGTTCCTCCCACAGAAGGACAGACAGCTGCTGCCCTCCAGGTTAATAGCCCTGGGAGCCCACAGAGGCATGTGCAGGCAGGCAGGCTGGCCGGCTGCAGCAGCCCGGGCAGGAGGAAGCCAGCCTCCCTGCTCCCCACTGGCTGGGGAGCCGTGGCCACTGTTAGTCCCCGGACCTCTGCCTGTCTATATCCCCAGACTCTGGCGAGTCCTCAGACCAAAACAGCTCCTGTCACTCTGTCAGGCCTGGAATAAAGGCTTCTGTGGAACTGGCACGGTGAACAGGGGGGGCTGGGAACCTGGATCCTCCCCTTCCAGAAGGTCCCCAGGCCCTTTTGCAAGCTCTTGCTCTGACCCTGGCCCCTTTGTCTTAGGATCAGGACCCAGCCGAGGCTGAGCCGTGAAGAAGGGCCTGAGGGTGTGGGGTCTGCCTTGGGAGCCCCTAGGGAAAGTGCCGTTCCCCTGGGTGGGAGGGGAGCAGGCGTGCAGACAGACAGGGAGTTGTGAGGCTGTGGAATTGCTGCTGGGGCCCTTGGGGTCCTGGTGTCCTGCTGAGAGTGTTCTGGTGACCAGTCACCTCCTTTCTGATCAATAAAAATGGTCGGCATGCATTTTCTTTGCTTGTGCGCTGGGCTGTGGGAGGGGGGTCACACAAGACGGGGCTCTGCCCGTACCCCCACCCTGGGTTCAGCTCCTGCCGGGCCCATCCAGCTGGGGAGCACCTGCGCACCCGCGCAAGGTGAGCAAGTGCCCGGTGGGCCCCTGAGTCAGCGCAGCGCTGGCTCAGCACATGCCCCGTGCCCCGGGGCCGACTGCCCAGCTGAGATGAGTATCGGGGAGGGAGGTGTCCCACCTCTTCCTCCCTCGCCCTCCCCCGGGCTGTGTTGGGGTGCGGGAGGGAAGTTGGGAGGAGGGCTGGGCCCCGTCCAGCAGGGCTGGCAGCAGGGCACGGGCCACCACTGTTCCATCCAGCCATGAAGCCTTCGAGTGAGCGGTGGAGCCTTCAAGGGACATTTCGGGGGCCTGAAAATGTCCCCCCTCCCATCTTCTCCACTCACTGCTGCTTCCGACGATGCCCTTTGATGCCAAGTCCTTTGCTAACTTTATTTTAGCTTTTGCTGTGGGCTAAGACGCAAGAAGTTGCTGTCCATCCATCACTGGCACTTTAGTCTGAATAAATCGTAGACCTGTTTCTAAAAGCTGGTATTAACTGGGGGAAATGAAGTCACAGGTCTACTTCAAATGGAGATTCGGGGGTTGAGCAGGAGGCTGGCCTGTCTCCAGCACAGTGGCCCTGGGAAAACCTCCACATTCTCCATCTGGTCCCCAAGTATGCTCCCAGCCAGGCTGGGGAGACTGTGGGCTTCCTCCTGAACTCTACCTCTTTTTTGTTTGTTTGTTTGTTTGTTTGTTTGTTTTCCGGTACCAGGTATCGAACTCACAAACTTATACTTGCCAGGCAGGGGCTGTGCCGCTGAGCTAAATCCCCAGTCCCTGAGCTCTAACTCTTACCTGAAGCTGAGCTGGCCACCAGGCCATTTTACAGCTGAAAAAAATGTTGTTTCTAGATCCAGAGGCCCCACCTATAGCTCTCTTTGCAAAGAACACTTTTCTCAGGAGCTAGGGTATAGGAGCCCTGTCTCAGGGTCCTGCTGAGATCTCTGGGCAGTGCAAATGCCCCAGCTGAGGGCTCTGGGGAGCAAGTCCTTGTCCCCAGCTGCCCGGATGAGCAGCACCACCAGCGAAAGGAAGGAAACCTCTATTCAGCATCTCCCAGCTTCCGCCAGGCAGGGCGTGTCCTTCCCACTATCTCTGCCAAGGCTGCCGATTAGTTACATTTCCCACAGATGAGGAAACTGCGGCCCTGAGAGAGGAGACGCAGCCTCCCAGTACCACTTCACTGATGTGTGATGGAGCCTATGTCTGAACCCAAGATTTCTCTCCCCGGAGCCCTCACTCTTGTTGTTCCAGGAGCCCGGATGTCCCTTCTTGCCTGAGTTTCCCCACCTGACAAGTGAGCTTCCTAGGCTGACGTTCTGAGCTCCTGTTGGCTGGAGATGATTTCCATCCTCATCATTTACCCTTGTCAGGGCTTTTGGCATCCTATAATAACAATAGCCAAGGCTACAGGACAAGACCAAGTTCCGTGCTAGAGCTCGGCCAACGCTGGCCTGTCTTAGCCTTGCAACAGCCATTTCTCAGATGGGAACACTGAGGCCAAGAGCAATGAAGTGACCCAGAACAGGAAGAGGCTAGGCAGGGCTGGCACCTAGCCCTGCCTTAAGGCCCAGGCTCTAAAGGAAAAGGCTGTGTTTCTCAAGGGCATCAGAATGCTCTGGAGCGCTGATGATGATCCAGATGCCAGCTGCCCCTCTAACCTGCTGTGTCAGGTAGGAGCGGGCCTGGGAATCTACATTTCCCACCAACTCCTACAAATCCATATTGCTTCAGAAAAAAGCAGGAAAAGAGGACGAGGGGGCGAGGAAGGGCCAAGATCAATTCCACACAGCTATCCTGCCCTCCTCTCCTGCCCCAAACAATCCCCAATGAGCTGGGCAGGTACCTGTGGGGACTTGTTCCCCTTAGAGCAAGTAATTCACTCCCTGGGTTGCCAGAGTGGGAGCAACAAGTTTGTATGCAAATATTGGGTCCCCTTCAGCCAATGCTGAGTTCTTGACTCTTGAAAGGGGTTGGACTTCCAGGCATGGAGCCAATAAGCTTGCACCCTATGCTGGAGGGGCGTGGCCAGAGACTTTTAAACCACCTCTCAAGGGGCCTCTAGGAGAGTGTTGGGTTTGGTGGCCCAAGCCCAGTCCAAGGCCAGCATGTCGCTGCAGAGGATCGTGCGCGTGTCCCTGGAGCATCCCACCAGTGCTGTGTGCGTGGTTGGCGTGGAGACTGTCGTGGACATATATGGGTAAGCACCAGAGGTCCCTGGGCCTTACTGACTCCTGCGGGTCTTTCTCCCTGGAAGCCGTGTCGTGTCCTTGGGCTTGGGCCTGGCCTGGCTGCCCACCCCTTAGCTTTGGCCTGGGCAGAGCAGCCAATCAAGGACTCTCGGGTCTTGGCCTCGGATAGCTGCGTTTCTAGCAGGGCGTATGAACTGGGGGCGGCTGAGCAATGACTGGCAGTGGCTGAGCTCTGTCTGGCGGTGTTGCGTCATGGCTTCTGGACATTGCCTCCATCCAGAGACGCCGTAGGATGCCCTGGGGGTGGTGGGCGCTGTGTGAGGTGCAGAAGAACAGGGAGAGGTGGACATCCACTCCTGCCATGTGTGAGCCTGAAAACAGTGTACATGATTTTTAAAGATCTCAGCTACTTCCTTAGCTCTGTCCAGGTGCCCAGTGCTGTTCTTGGAGTTGGCAGCACCTGGCATTTAACTTTCGAACACAAATGCTGGAAGCCCACCGTGGCAATAGCTCTTGGCCTCGGCTCAGGCTTAGCATATTCCCGTGTGACGGAGGAGCAAGGCGGGGAGCAGAGAGGGAAACTGTGTGCTCAAGTCCCGCAGTTAAAGCGTAAAAGCCAGGATTCAAACCCACTCACAATCCTACTTAGAACTCAGACTCTCAGATGCTGTACTCCGCCCTTGCGGCAGAGGGATTCAGATCTGGTCTCCTCCAGCACTCAGCGCCCTTTGCTCTGCTCCCTCTGCACCAGGCTGCGCTTTCCCGGCCTGCGGTGGTGGGAGCTGAGCTGCAGCCTCTTTCTCCTAGGAAGCAAAAGAGAGTTTGGTTCCATGCTTAAGGTGGTTCGAGGGCCGGCTGCTTGGGCTTTTGAGGAGTCTCAGTCTGAGACTGTGCTGGACACAGGTGACCAGGATGCCGGGAGGGGAGGGTGCAGGCCCTGTAACTGTGGCCACCTCTCAGCCCCCAGCTTTGTCCCTGACCAGGTTCTCGACCTCAGCACTGTGGGGACGCCTGAGCAGTGTAGAGGGCTGGGCAGTGTCACTGGCTTGCATTTATCTCCACGCCTCCTTGTTTTTTTTGTTTTTGTTTTGTCTTTTTGAGACAGGGTCTCGCTATGCAGTTCAGGCTGGCCTTGAGCTCACTTTATAGCCCAGGCTGGTCTCAAACTCGCAATGATCCTCCTGCCTCAGCCTCCCGAGTGCTGGGATTACAGGCATGCGCCACCACGCCCGGCCCCTACCCCTCCTTGTGATGTCCAAAAGTGTTCCCAGATACTACCAAGTATGTCATGGGGGCAAAATCCCCCACTCTGAGAGAACAGGTACCCCAGACTAAGACCTGAGCATTGGGGTGAACGTGGTCAGAAGCAGGATGGTCCCGGGGCACTGGATGAGAGGCGTAAGGAGCTGGTCAAGGGAGGGAACCAAGTCCGGAGCAGGCCCCAGCCCAGCAAGGCACCAGGACCTAAAGCCTGGTTGAGGCGGGTGGGCCTTGAGGGGCGGGAAGGGGCTTGATGGCTCTGAAGGAGCAGGCGGGAGGGGAGAGGAGGGGGTACCTGCTGCCTGGCGCCACTGCCTGCTGCGGGGCTGCGTGCTGTGGGGGTGATTCAGTGCCCGAGCTGCCCCGTGCCCCCTGGGCAGATGTGCCTCCAGTTTGACCTGTCCCGGGAAGGCAGGAGCCGCTCCTCCCCCGCACAGCTTCCTTGTCAGGTGGAGAACAGGTTGGGGCAACAAGGCAGTGGTGGGGTAGCCACAGTGGCAGGCGCAGAAGAGGCCGGGAACGGGGTGGCCAAGGGCCAGGGGGCAGGGGCTCCAGCATCTTCAAGTGAGGGCTTCCCAGGCCCCAGAGACCAGACCATCCGGGGAGGTGGAGCTCCTGGCCCACCCATTCGTCAGGTGTCCCTTTGGGGGCCAGGCACCGGGCCCCACAGAGGTTTGCAGGCAGGTGCCGTTCCTGCCGCCTGCGGGCTCTAGCTGAGGCCCAGCCACCTTCTCTCCCGGGCTGCGGGAGGAGCCCTGTCCTGGAAAGGGAGCGGGTCTGGGCTAGTGCTGAGGTCCCTTCTGGCCTGGAAAGGCCTGATGTGTCAGTCCTGTGTGCCAGCAGGAGAAAGGGCAATCCTGGCTCTGCGGCTGCACAGCTATCAGACCTTGGGAAACTCTTGTATCCCATCTGGGTCTGTGATTTCTCATCTGCAGGGTATAAGTGATGGTAAAGTCAGCATTGGACTTAGCACCCACTCCCCAGAACTCACTGTCCTAAGCACTTTACATATGTTAATGGAGTCCCACAGCCATCTCTGGTGAGGGAACTAAGGCACAGAGAGGTTAAGGGACCTGCCCAAGGTCACACAGCCAGTGAGTGGCATAGCCAGGATGTGACTTGAACAGTGTGGCCTTTTCTTCCAAGGGCTGTGGAGAGGGTTGGGTGGGATTGGGCGAGTATAGTGCGCAGCTCTCGCCCTGCTTGTGGTGAACCCTTAATCATGGTAACTGTGACACTGTCATCATTTTAAGGCTCTGTCCTGAACCTGTGGACAGCCTCACGTGCCGCCAAGCCTGCCAGGCACAAGATGCCTGGGGAACGGCCTCTGAGCCACACTGGGGGGAGGAGGAGTGGAGAACACAGGAAATCAGCCGGGGGTGGTGGTGCACGCCTGTAATCCCAACACTCGGGAGGCTGAGGCAGGAGGATCCTTGAGAGTGTGAGACCAGCCTAGGCTACAAAGTGAGCTCAAGGCCAGCCTGAACTGCATAGTGAGACCCTGTTTTTAAAAAAAAAAAAAAAAGAGAGAGAAAATGCAGGAAATAGCATGGGCTGAGCAGTCAGAGAAGGCTTCCCGGAAGAGGGGCCCAACTGGAGCCTTTAAAAGTGAGCACAAGCAAGAGTCCTGGGCCCCTTGACTGTGGCAGCGGGTCCCACCCTGTCCTGCCTTCCTGTACTTTGGAGGTGTCCAGCTGGGTGCCCGAGCAGGGAGTCTTGGGTGAGAAAGGGAGGAAACTGCAGAACTCGTTGCCTGAGCCACGCATTAAGCTGCAGGGTCCCCTTTGCTCCTCGCTGAGCCTGGAGGTCGAGACTAGAGCCTGCACTGGACAGATGCAAAGAGGAGCTCAGGGGACACTGGCCCAAGATGTCCTCTCCTGCAGGGCCTAGCTGGGGTGCAGCCGGGACCCCGAAGCCTAGGTCGCTGCCTCCTCTCCATGCAGAGATCTCCACGCTGAGCATCAGTGTTGAGACACGAGGCTCAGACTCGAATCTTGGGACGGCAGGAAAGCTGGCTTGGTTCTTACTTGGCAAAGTCAGAGTCCCCGGATGACTCCGGGGTGGGTCACCCAGGGCGTCATCTGAGTAGGAGCGAGAGGTGGACAGGAAGCTGGGCCCCAACCCCGAGTTCCACAGCACCGGGAAAGGCTGCTTCGAGCTGTGAGGCAGTGGTTGCGAACCCTTTCGACTTTGTCATCTGATGGGCTTGGCCAGCAGTCCCCAGGCTGGTTCGACGGGCATCTGAGGTCTCACCCACCTCTCCATTTTCTGGATGGAGAAACTGAGGCTCCAAGTGTAGGATGACTTCCCAGGGTCACAAAACCAGTTAGGGATAGAGCTGAATCTTGAAAGGTTTCCCCCAAAGGAATCCAAGTCTCTGAGGGGCACAGATCACCTGCATGGGGATCCTGGCGGGGCTGCAGGACATCGGTGCTGACTGACTTGTCTAAGAGCCCAGAACTCCCCCTGTGGCCATACACACCCCACATTCAAGAGACCCCGGAAGTGTTAGGTCTGATCTGCTTGCTGCAGAGGGCTGGGACATAGCTGCTTGGTGGCCACTGAGTCTTTCTGAGTCCCTTCCTGAAGGCAGCCAGTCACCTCTGAGGGGCAGCCACCTTGACTTGAGAGTGCACAGCTGGTTCACCTTGACTCCGGGAGGCAGCATTTGGAAACTCTAGAAGGCAGAGTGCACTCTTAAGGTGCATGGGAGGCCCCCCGCTGCTTCCTGTAACAAAGATCCCCCTTCTGTTAGCAAGTGACAGCAAAGGGCCATGCCCGGCGATGAGCTGTCTTTGCCAGGAGAGGTTCTGCACCTTGGCTCACGTTGGAGTCACCCGGGGACTTTAAAGAAGTGTCACTGGGCCGGGCCAGGGTGTCAGGGAGCCGGTAGAACACCGGAATCGCATGTGCAGCGCCCTGGATTCCATCCCCAGCACAGCAGGAAAATTAAACAGAAACTTTAAACTGCTGCCCAGGCCCCCTTGGGAAACCTGACTGGCCTGATCCGGGCGTGTCCAGCACTGTGATTTCTCCAGGGCCCCCTGGGAATAAAAGGAGGCCCAGGACTGAGAGCGCCGCACTAGTAGGGAAGGACAAATGGCTCGTGCCACCCAAAAAGTGCCTAATGGAGCCAGGAGCCCTGAGTTTGAACCCTATCTGTCACAAGGCTGTGTCACATGAGCAACGCCCTGCTCCTCCCGGGGCCTATTTCCCAGCTGGTCCCCTGAAGGACTGGGCTTAGGACAGTGGGTTTCGTGCTCTGCTTGTGGAGGCCTCAGAGTCTCCCCCTGGGGGTGACAAAGCAGCTCCCCTTCTGTCCACCCTGGGCGTTTTGCTTGACGCAGGGCAGAGCTCGGATCTGCGCTTCAGGGAGCCGGGTGGTGCGGCTTCGGCCCTAGGAAGTGTTCGGGCTCTGGACAAAGGGTTGTGTGGCTGCCAGTTTCCTGGGGGTGGCTGTGGGGCGGGTGGAGGGGGCCACGGTTTCCTGAACCTGGTTCTGTTGGGGAGGCTGGCAGTCGGGGGTGTCTGAGTACCTTGCTGACTGGGGAGTGGCAGCTATCTGAGGTGTCTGGGCCTTGGTCGCCTCCACCCCATGGGCCAGCCCAGAGGAGCCCTTGGTGATCGCCTGGCCCGTCTTCCAGCCCTGAGGACCATTTCCCAGTGCCTGAATTGTTTGGCTTTGTTCCAGAAGCCGGGCCTCTGAGCCCATTTAGGGAGAGGATAACTTTGGATTGCACAGGAGTGAAGAAGGAGTTACCTGTGAAGCCTGGCTCTGTCAGGCTGCGTGAGGGGGTGTGGGTCCCCTCACATTGGGGGGCCCTGATAGCCCCAGGGACTCCGGCCTCTCTGAGGCAACCCCACCCTCGCCGTGGTCCTTGGACATCAGGGCGATTGGAAGTGCAGACCCCAGCCTGCCTGCAGCCCCGCTGCTCCTGGGAACCTGCATTTGCAGTAGGGCGGCTCTGAGACTACCCCCTTTGGGGCACCTGCTGTCCTGGTTTTAATGCTGAGTGTTCTGCATGCCTAGAAACAAACACCTGGATCTCAGCAAACCAGGGCTGTTGGTCATTCTGCCGCCCGTCACGCCCACTCACCCCTGAGGCCAGCCTCGAGGGCCTTGCACAGTCCTGGACAGGCATGGACAGCCTGTCCCCCAGGAAGTGGGAATTCTGGATCCTCCTGGACCTGCCACAGGCTCTGCTCCTGGCAGTCATTCCTTTGATCATCCCAGCACACCACTCCCACGGTGGGGTGCAAGCACTGGACTAGGAGTCTGGAGCCCTGCCTCCTAGCCACCTCTCTTCCGGGACTGTTTCCCTGGCAGTGCAATGAGGGCTGACTTTCACGCATTCCTAGCGTTTTGGGCCCATCTGCTCCTCCTGCTTCCTGTCATCCCCACCAGATAGATGTAAGCCCTAAGGCTGGGGCAGATGAAGTCACCCCTTCAGCTCTCACACCTGGTGAGCCCCGGGCTGGGATTTGAATCCAGACTGCCTGACCCTGGGGTCCACAGGCTTAACCATCTTGCCACAGCTCCATCATGGTGTCCCTCCTGATCAGGCACAATCGCTGGCTCCCCATTACCCAGGAAAGAAATGCAAATAGCCTTACTGCAGCCTGAGTCTTCTCCTGAGCTCCTGAGGCTCTGGGTGAAAATCCCTTCCCCTCAGACCCATGGGAAGCCACTCTAGACGCCTGGCCCCTTTGCCAGTGCCTCCCCCCACCTGTTCCCTGCACCCTAATTTACTTTAACAATGCCCTCCCCATCTTGGGGCGTGTTCCAGGCCTTTCCTACCTATTGCGCCACTTGAGCCTCATGACTGTCGCTGAGGTCAGACATGGGTGTCATTATTCACTTTATAGGGGCCCAGAGGGGCCATGGGATTCAGTCAAGGTCGTCTGGCTGATGTGTGGCCCCTGACTGTGGCCATGGCCCTGCTGAGCCCTGGGCTTCTTGTCCCCTCCCTTCTCCAGCTCGCTGTGAAGTCTTACGGGGGCCATTGCTCGGGGCCTCTCCTGGCCAGGGCTGCTCCCCAGGATCTGGGGATCCTCAGCATCTCCCAGAGGTGGCCCAGAGAGCCAGGCTGAAGTGGCCTCACCCAGGTTAAGGGACTGGGACTGAGTTTTCATGCCAGAAGAGCCATCAAGCGTGGCTCCAGGGACAGCGTGGGGCTGGGGACTTGCATGAAGTGTCTTTGGCTGCCCTGGCTGCTAGAGCCCAGCTGCCCGGGGGTGTGGGGCACGAGAGGCCCTTCCTGCCCGAGTCTGTCTCCGTGTCTCTCTCTGCCTCCTTCCCTGATGCTATCATCTCTTTGTCTCCGGGCCTCTCTGTCTGCTTCCTCCATGTCCCCTGACAGGCACCAGCCCACACCCAGGACAGAAGAGCCAGAGGGCACCAAGCAGCCCTGGCAGTTCCAGACTTTGGGGATAGTAAGGCGGGATAAAATCCAGCATGTTTAGTTAAATTTGAATTCCAAATCAATACTTTTTAAGTATATCTCAGATATCGCATGGGATCTACTTGTACTAAACAATTTGTTGTTTATCCGAAATCCAAGCCCAGCTCGTCACTCTGTATTTTTATTTGCTGAATCTGGTAGCCCTGCTTGGAAGGAGAAGCAGGCCTGTTGCCCCCCGACCTGGGGAGGGCACCTGGCAGGGCTGGCACGCTGTTGAGTTTGGTGGATTCCTCTTTTCATAAAAAGCTGCTTTGAGAAGCGTCACCAACCTGCTGGGAGAGCGAAGAGGGTGTCTCGGGGGCGCTGCCTGCCCCCAAGGGGACAGGGCCTGCTGCAGGGCAGCTGTGTGAGCTTGCAGGACTCCCTTGCCATCCCGAGGCTGTTTCCCCAGGGGTGAGTGGCAATCTAGCCCCTTGTTCTGAGGCTTCGGTAAGGACCACAGGAGCTGGTGCACAGACGGGCTGAGCGGGGCTGGCATGATGAGTAGGGGAGGGGACCTGAGCTGTCATTGTTCTCTGGGGCAGAGCTGAGCAAGAGCCTTAAGGCTGGCTGCTTCCCAGCAATGTGACTTGGGGTGGGCTATTTACCCTCAGTATCTCCATCTGTGAAATGGACAGAATACTCATGCCTAGATGAGAGGCTCTCATGGCATAAGGAACAACAAGGACCTGAAACAGGGCTGGCACAGGGCCAGGGCTCATTCAGGAAGCCTCTTTGGCCCCTCTGGCTCACAGCTCCGCACCCTGTGTGGTTTCCCACGGAGCCACAAGCCCCGGTCCAGAGCCACATCTGGCTGCCCTGGGCATACCGGCCCTCCACTCCCTGAAGGATCAAAGGCTCCAGAGCAGTAGAGAGAGTGATGGGTACCTGCTTCTGCCCAGCAGTGCTCAGCCCATAGCGGGGACCCCGAGATGAGGGGATGCGCAGGCTGGTTTCTGAGCAGGATCCCTAGCTTACTGGGAATGGGGGAGACACAGTTTCAGCATTTTAAGCCTAGCAGCACCATCTGGCTGTTTGACCAGCTCAGGGCCTGCTTTTCCAGGTGCCCCTGCAGCGGTTCCCAATAGCCTGGGCTCCAAGTCAGAGGCCTGTGTGTAAACCTATCTCTGCCATTTGATGCTGTGTGACCCGTTTGTTACTAGACCTCTCTGAGCCTCTGTTTCCCACCTATAAGTGGGATACTGCTGTGCACCCTGCAGACTTGTGAAAGGAAGTGGAAAGTGCACACAGTAATACCCGCTGGGGGGACTCTGAGGACACCTCATCCCCTGCCAAGGAGACAGGAGGGGTCTTGGGATGCAAAGTGCTCCTCTTAAAGCTACAGTCACAGAACCACTAGGGCGTCCACTCATTGCTGCTGACTCCGGTTCTGGGCTCCGTGGGGTTCTGTCCTCCTGGGAGGTCAGGAAACGCACAAGGCGATGTTTGTGGCCGTGGAGCCTGGAACGTGGGACGGGGATCTGAGTGGCCCAGCCCGGGAGACTGGAGAAGGCTTGGGGAGGAATCAGGGCCGTGTCCCTCAGCGCGGCCCATGGCTCCCTGTCCTTCCCAGATCGGTTCCCGAGGGCACAGACATGTTCGAGGTCTACGGGACCCCGGGGGTGGACGTCTACGTCTCTCCCAGCACGGAGAGGAGCCGGGAGCGGCGCGCTGACCTCAGGCGGTGGCACTTCGACGAGGGCCTGGAGATCATCGTGGTCATGAACTCCCCCAGCAACGACCTCAACGACAGTCACGTGAGCCGCTCCCCGGCCGGTGGGGTGGGGGAGGCGACGGTCGGGTTCCAGGAGCCCGCACAGCCCCCTTGGTAGGGAGCGGGCTCATCGTGGGCGAGCGCCAGGCCCTGGGGCTGGGGTCTGATTCCCAGTACTGCAGCTTATAGACCCGGGCTGTGCGTCCCCAGCGTCTGGGACCCCTGCGCCCTCTGCGGTGGGTGTCGTCGTCGTAACCCCTCCTCCTGGCGTCGGTGCGGGGGCGGCAGCTGGCGCCTGTTCCTTCCCTCCCCTCCTAAGGCTGCTGGCGAAGGGAGTTGTCGGAGGCGGTGCTGGGCCTCAGTTTCCCCATCCGTACGTAGGCTGGGGTTGGCTGGCTGATGTCTGCCTGTTTGAGTGACACAGAAAGCCAGCGTGGGGGAGGGACGCTGCCTCTCCCCAGGGAGGCGCCGGGCCAGGCGACGCTTCCTGTGGCCCCTCACTGTCCCCCATCCACGCTCTCGCTGACGCCCTCTGCAGGGTTTCAGGACATCTAAGACATGGAGGAAGTGACGCCCCTCAAAGAGACCAGGAGCTGGTAGGAGGAAGTGGTTTCTCATTCCATGTCTAGAGCAAAGTTCTAGAAATCGGTCCTTTAAGGACCACTGACCATGGTCACTGGGCGTCTGTGACCTCATCCAACCATCACTGCAGCTCTGAGAAGGAGGGGCTGACCCCCCCAACACACACACGCACATAGTGAGGCAACCAAGGTTCACAGCCCTGTCTGAGGTCCACAGCCAGGACTCAGCACACCTGAGGCAGGTTCCCTGTCACCCCACCTCTGTGCCTATATGTCTCTGAATTCTTTTTTTTTTTTTTTTTTTTTGGTACCGGGAATCAAACTCGGGACCTTGCGCTTGCCAGGCAGGCACTTGTGCCACTGAGCTACATCTCCGGCCCTATGTCTCTGAATTGAGCCTTTCTCCAAGCTCTGTGAGGCGTGTGGGACAAGACTGAATGGACCCATTTTCCAGATTAAAAAAACTGAGACCAAGAAGGGCTGTGGTTTAGCTGGCCATATGTCCCAGCAAGTGGCAGAGTTGATGGGGACAGGATAAAGTGCCCAGAGCAACACAGGAGGACTGGCTGGGCTATGAGGTCTCCTCCAGATGCCCTGCAGAACTAGGGGCTGTGAAGGTGCCTCCCCACCCTGAGTTCCTGGCTGCAGGGGCTTTCAGGACCAAGGAAGGTCAGAGACTCCCTGTCCCACCCTGCCTTTGGGATCCAGGCAGCTGTAGATCTGGAGAGCAGGTCACTCTGGGACCTTGGCACACAGGGTCTGTGATCACTGGGTTTAGGGGCTCTCAGGACTATAGGCTAGATCCTGAGCCTCCAGTAGGGGAAGGATGTCAGAGCCTGAGTGTGGAGGAAGCCACATCTGGAGGCAACGTCCCGGGGGGACCACAGGTCGGAGGGGACTTTGATGTGTCCACCTCCAACCACCTATCATCATCCCGGTCTTCACCTTCACCCTAAACAGTTATGGGGTGCTTGCTGCGGGCCAGGGACCATGATGAGAACGCAGCTGCCTCCCTAGGCCTTTTTGTATTTTGAGACACAATCTCACTAATTTGCTAAGTTGCCCAGGCTGAGCTGAAACTTTCCACCCTCCTGCCTCAGCCTCCCAGAGTGCTGGGATTATGAGTGTGTGCCTCCATGCTCTGCTTATGTCCCTATTTTACATATAAGAAATCTGGTGAAGGGCATTGGCCAAGGTCACAGAGCCCCTAGGTGCTGGGCTCAAGGCCAGGTCTGCTGGGTCTTACTGAAAAGAACATTGTCTTGGACAGGTTTCCTAAACTCTGCCCTGTCCAAGTGCCTCATTTCACAGAGGCCCAAGGAGGAGCGAGGCCCGCCGGAGTCACACAGTAGGTTGTTGGTGGGCCCAGGACCCAGGTCACCATAGAATCCCTCACGGATAGTTCGCATTCACAGCTGGGCCAACTAAGGCATGGAGGATTAAATGGCTCAGAGAAGGCTACAGGAAGACCTAGACCAGGGTACAGAGGTTCCTGAGGCTCCCCCTCCTCACCACGTCCCTCCAGCCCTGTCTTGAGGCAGGGGCCCTCGGCTTCCACCAGCCTCACTCAGGCCGTCTCTCCTCAGGTGCAGATTTCCTACCACTCCAGCCGTGAGTCTCTGCCCCTGGCCTATGCTGTGCTGTACCTCACCTGTGTGGGTAAGTGGCGGCTGGGCGGGGACTGGGGCCCAGGGCCCTGGCCAAGGGCAGAGAGCTGGTGGTTGGCAATGATTCTGACCAGGGTCTGTATTAAAAAACGAATTTGTTTTATTTCTTTCTTTTTTTTGAGTGGGAAGCGGTTTCCGGTACCGGGAATCGAACTCACGACCTTGCGCTTGCCAGGCAGGCGCTGTGCCGCTGAGCTAAACCCCCAGCCCCTGTTTTATTTCTTAAAATTAAAGAAAGGTGTGTACATTAGAGAATTTCAATAGTACAAAAGAGTGTAGGCTGAAAAATGAGCCCCAACGTCCAGTCCCCCACAACCAGCATCCTTTCGAGAGAAGCTGTGCTTGCGCCAGTAGATGTACCCTTGCTGGGACAGCCTCCCTTCCTGTAAGCAAACCGAAGCACACTCTAGACCAGGAGCTGGACCTTCCTTTTTTTCAACTTAAATGTTTTCTGCAGATTCTCTGCAGTTTGTTGTAGCGTGCAGACTCTGTGCAAGATGACTCAGATGCTGAACTATCAGACAGGAAATGTAAAGTGACCCTGGTTCCTGTATTAAAGGGTCCCATAGAAAAGGTAAACAACACGCGTGGACAGACGAGAACTGCAACAGAGAGATGAGTAGTGTAAGAAAGGGTCAAATGGAAATGCAGGCAGGAAAAACCAGAGCCACAGTGGGAGGAAAAGCAGTGGACCTGATACAGCTGAAGAAAGAATTGATGGACTTGAGAACAGGTCAAGAGAAGTTACCCAAACTGAAACACAAAGAGGAGAAAAAAAATGAAACAAAACAAAATAGAGATGTAAGAGCTCTGACAGTATCAGAAGGTCTGAACTCAGTGTAATTTCCATGAGACTCCCAGGTGGCTTTTTAATAGGATTGTGTAAAGCTGATCCTGAAACTCACAAGGAAGCACAAAAGGAAAGAATCGCCAAGACAATTTTGAGAAAGAACAAGGTGGAAGGATTCAGAGGTCAAGACTTTTTCAAGCTCTAGCACTTGAAGCAGCATCAAATTTGCGCAGGGTTAAGTGCGTAGAACAATAGCACAAATAGAGCCTAGAGATAGACCCAGGCTGCTGTGGTTTATCACATAAAAATAAAAGAACTTGGAGCCCTACCTCACACCGTACTCAAGAACAAATTTCACCTGAGTTAAAATTCTCAAGATAAAAATAAAAATGATACAGAAGGCTGAGGCAGGAGAATTGCTGTGAGTTCCGGGACAGCCTGGACTACATAGTGAGACTCTGAACATAAAAATTGAGGAGGTTTTTAAAAAAGAATATCTTTGTAAATTTTAGCTTGAAAAGTTTTTTTTTTTTTAACAAAGTGAAACAAAAACACAAACCGTAGAAGAAATGTTGGTAAATTAGGCAACTTCAAAGTTTAAAGCTACATTACAGCAGGTGCAAGTAAAAAGTCAAATTGTGGGCTGGGAGAAGAGATTTGCAATGCACTTATTGACTCAGCGCATACAGACTACAGAGAAGCCCAACAAAAACAAACCAGCAAACAAATAGAAATGAGTAACATGTGAACGAGCATTTCACAGAGGAGAAAGCCCCTTGGTCAAAACCCAAAATTCAAAACTGCTTAACTGAGTTGCCACAGGTTGTGGGGCTGAGTATCTCCTTTTGGGGGCATTCCTACAAGCCTGGAAAGCAATTAGCCAGTAAGTAGCAAATGCTTTCTTTATCTATGACTCTTGCAGAAGTAGAGTTCGTGGGTTGAAGGGGAAGCATATTTTTTTTTTGGTTTTGCTCCGGTACCGGGAACCGAACTCACGACCTTGCGCTTGCCAGGCAGGCGCTTTGCCGCTGAGCTAAATCCCCAGCCCCCGGGAAGCATATTTTAAATGTTAGTTCTCAAAAGGACCGGGCCACATGGTACACCTGTCCAAAGTGCACGGGGGCAACTTGCTTCCTCATGGTGGCAGCCTTTGCTGGTGTTTCCTGTCCTCGCTGCTTGAATTTGCTTTTCTTAATTTTATTTTATTTATTTATTTATATATATGTATATATATATATATTTTTTCCTTTCTTTCTTTGAGGTCCTGGGGATCGAACTCTGGACCTTGCACTTGCCAGGCAGGCACTTATGTCACTGAACTATATCCCCAGCCCTGAATTTGCCTTTCTTGAGTTAAGAGTAAGGTGGGGCATCTGCCTCCTGAGCCTAAACACATGCTTCTCTGACCACACAGCTCATTTCTTCCTCCAAAGACACCTGCTGCTTTGTGACACACATTTCCTTGATCTTCTTTACGGTCTGCTCACCTGAATATGCACGCGGAGGGCCAGAGTTCGATGTTACTGTCTGAATTTTCCAAGGAGGAATTGCATTGCCTGCACCCTTTCCGACTGGGCTTCCTGGGCCCACATCCATCCAGCATTGCGTGGTGTTGGGTATCTTTCCACATTAAATCATTGATTAAAATCTATTTCTTCCTTTTCTCTCTTCTTGAAGAGCTCAGAAGGATTTTGTAGATGCGGGAAGATTGGCTCTAAGCCCTTGAATGTTCCCTTTGTATAGTAAGCTCTCTCTCCCGGTTTCCAGGGAGAAATGTTAAGGCGGGGTGTGGGTGAGGAGCGCAGGCTGGGACTTGAGGGGGTGGGAATAGCTGCTGAAGCGGAAGTTCAGAAAGGCTGCACAGCCAGCAGGTGGCAGAGCCCAGATTCACATCCGGGTCAGTCTGACACCAAAGTCCAGACTCTGTCCCATTCCAAGATGAGACAGCTTCATACAGAACAAGAAGGTCCCTGGCAACCTGGGCTCAGTGTGGAGTGTCCCCCAGCCAAAATGGCTCTGAGGATCCAGAAAAGGGGGTCATCAGGACTGGCTTCATGGAGGGGGCGGCCTTTGGCCCCAGCCTTTCCTTGGACCGCTCTTCCTCCCCAAGGCCTCTTTCCCCAGCCTGTGGAGGGAAAGAAGCCTCAGAGTTCTGCCTCCGGGCTGTGTCTGCCCAGAGATAAAGACTAAGAACAGAAGGCTTGGCCCGTGCTGGGCCTCTGGGCACCTCATAGGAACTCACCTGCCCCTCTTCCCACAGACATCACCCTGGACTGCAACCTGAACTATGAGGGCAGGCAAGAGAAGAGCTTCGTAGACAAGGTAGGCTTCCTGGCCTGGGCCTGGACAGGCGGAGTGGAGTGTGGAGCTGGGGTGTGAGGGGAGAGGCCATTACAGGTGTCCCCTGCCTCTGCCTCTCAGGGGATGCTACAGTCAGAGGAGCCAAAGGAGGACCAGGCCTGGCTGGGAGGGTCTCCTGCCAGGAGAAAAATCACCAGCCAAAATCGTCAGGCACAGAGGCTCCCAGCCTTTGTCAGAAGAAAGCTCTGGAATTATAGTCTAGGTCAAGTGTTGGCAAACGTTTTTTAAATAAAAGCCAGAGAATAAATATATATTCTGCCACTGTAGTGTAAAAGCAATCACAGCCAAGACAAACTAGTGACGTGGCAGTGTTCTGATAAAACTTTATTTGCAAACTCAGGCAGCGACCAGAGTTTGATCCCTGGCCATAATATGCTGACCCTGAGCTAGGGCAACAGCATTTCTACGGATATGAACAGTTAAATATCCTTGGGCCCAGTTGTAGTGGCACTAAATGCACTGAGAGTGCAGAGGAGGTCAGGGTGGGGGAGAGAGCAGAGAAGGCTTCCCTGGGAGCACAGGAGGGAGGGCATTCTGGGTGTGGGAACAGCAAGAACAAAGCATAGAGGGAGGTGTGGAGGGATGAGTTGGTGTGAGGTATGTGTCCTCAAGGTTGCCTATAGAGAAATATCACATGGGCTGGAGGCACACCACAGACAGCCATGACAAAGCTGTGACTTGCACTTGATGGTGTGGGCACTAGGGAGCCATTGATAGTTCCTGAGCAGGATGTGCTTTGGTGAAAGTGGACCTCTCCTCACAGGGTAGGATGAAGGCTTAGGAGTCTTGCAAGAGATGCAGAGGAGGAAGTGTGGGTCTGGTCCACACCCCTCTTCACTGGCTGTGCTTTCCCATTGCAGCGGCAGTGGGTCTGGGGGCCTGGTGGGTATGGAGCTATCTTGCTGGTGAACTGTGACAGGGACGATCTGGCCTGTGATGTCCCGGACAACTGTGACCAGTGCGTGCGCTGCCTGCAAGGTGAGCGACTAGGGCTGCCTGGGTCCCCGAGTGTCCAGGGCCACTGCTGTGACCCCACAGAGGTTCTGCCCCATAGGCCAGGCTCCCAACGTGGAAGTGGAGGCCAGGGCCCCAGCCCCTAACACACCCTGACATTCCTCAAACCCATCTCCGGCTGGGGGCTGCCTGTCCCCGTGTCCCATGTCTGTGGACACTCTGCCGCTGGGCAGAAATGCTGAAGACAAGTGCGTCTCCTTCCTCCAGGAGGGAGGTACTGTGAACCACGCCCTTCCCCCACATTCCTCTTACACATCCAAGCGGGAGAGTCTCAGGCTCAGACGGCAGGAGACTTCCCAAAGTCACAGTCTGTCTGTGTCCACCCCAGGCTTCCTTCCCAACCCAAACCCACACTCCAGCCCCCAAGCTCTGGCCTGCCCCCTGGGGCCGTCCGCAGCGTGAGTCTGTCCAAGGCAGCGATACCCTGGGAGGGGCGGTGCTTTCCACACGACGCTCACTGCAGCCATCCTGAGGGCACGTGGAGAGGGGCCGCTCTGGCCCGGAGGGCAGCGCTCAGCCAGTGTCACAGCCTCGCCTGTGTGACGCCCAGGTGGGCTTGGCATTGAGCCCACTTCTCCCCAGCTCCTCTCCGCCGCCAGGCACGGGGCTGGCTACTGTCACCTCACACTTCTCCAGGCGGATGAGGAAACGTGGGCCTGAAGGGGGACATGAAGTAGCACGACACGTCACCTACACGCAAACATCATGGCTTGGTCTTGATGCAGGCCCCAGGAGGTGGGGCCGGGACACCTGGCCTTGACACCCATGGACCTGGGAGAGGGATGGCGCAAGGGGGAGGTGCTGGGGACCCCGGCTCCTCTGAGTCACTTCTTCTCTGACTGGCTTCGCAGATCTGGAAGACATGTCTGTCATGGTCCTGCGGACCCAGGGCCCTGCAGCTCTCTTTGACGACCACAAACTTATCCTCCACACCTCTAGTTATGATGCCCAGCGGGCACGGGTCTTCCATGTGTGCGGTAAGTACGTGCCAGGAAGCCTCTTCTTTATGGGGCGGCTAGGCAGGCTCTGCTCAGGGCCCAGGAGTCAGGAGTGTGGCAAACTTGAATATATACATA